TTGACAGCCAAATCCGAGTAGAGGAAGACACCTATTACCACCAAAAAGTCATCCGACCCAAAAATCCAAAATCACAAAAAAGTTCCCAAAAAAATTCAATTTTTCTTAGGCAGACGATTTTAATGCATATTCTTGCACAAAATACTCTTAAAAGTGTAGAAAAAAATTGACAGCCAAATCCGAGTAGAGGAAAACACCTATTACCACCAAAAAGTCATCCGACCCAAAAATCCAAAATCACAAAAAAGTTCCCAAAAAAATTCAATTTTTCTTAGGCACAAGATTTTATTGCAATTTCTTGCACAAAATACACCTAAAAGTGTAGAAAAAAATTGACAGCCAAATCCGAGTAGAGGAAGACACCTATTACCACCAAAAAGTCATCCGACCCAAAAATCCAAAATCACAAAAAAGTTCCCAAAAAAATTCAATTTTTCTTAGGCAGACGATTTTAATGCATATTCTTGCACAAAATACTCCTAAAAGTGTAGAAAAAAATTGACAGCCAAATCCGAGTAGAGGAAAATACCTATTACCACCAAAAAGTCATCCGACCCAAAAATCTAAAATCACAAAAAAGTTCCCAAAAAAATTCAATTTTTCTTAGGCACAAGATTTTATTGCAATTTCTTGCACAAAATACACCTAAAGGTGTAGAAAAAAATTGACAGCCAAATACGAGTAGAGGAAGACACCTATTACCACCAAAAAGTCATCCGACCCAAAAATCCAAAATCACAAAAAAGTTCCCAAAAAAATTCAATTTTTCTTAGGCACAAGATTTTATTGCAATTTCTTGCACAAAATACACCTAAAAGAGTAGAAAAAAATTGACAGCCAAATCCAAGTAGAGGAAGACACCTATTACCACCAAAAAGTCATCCGACCCAAAAATCCAAAATCACAAAAAAGTTCCCAAAAAAATTCAATTTTTCTTAGGCACAAGATTTTATTGCAATTTCTTGCACAAAATACACCTAAAAGTGTAGAAAAAAATTGACAGCCAAATCCGAGTAGAGGAAGACACCTATTACCACCAAAAAGTCATCCGACCCAAAAATCCAAAATCACAAAAAAGTTCCCAAAAAAATTCAATTTTTCTTAGGCAGACGATTTTAATGCATATTCTTGCACAAAATACTCCTAAAAGTGTAGAAAAAAATTGACAGCCAAATCCGAGTAGAGGAAGACACCTATTACCACCAAAAAGTCATCCGACCCAAAAATCCAAAATCACAAAAAAGTTCCCAAAAAAATTCAATTTTTCTTAGGCAGACGATTATAATGTATATTCTTGCACAAAATACTCCTAAAAGTGTAGAAAAAAATTGACAGCCAAATCCAAGTAGAGGAAGACACCTATTACCACCAAAAAGTCATCCGACCCAAAAATCCAAAATCACAAAAAAGTTCCCAAAAAAATTCAATTTTTCTTAGGCAGACGATTTTAATGCATATTCTTGCACAAAATACTCCTAAAAGTGTAGAAAAAAATTGACATCCAAATCCGAGTAGAGGAAGACACCTATTACCACCAAAAAGTCATCCGACCCAAAAATCCAAAATCACAAAAAAGTTCCCAAAAAAATTCAATTTTTCTTAGGCACAAGATTTTATTGCAATTTCTTGCACAAAATACACCTAAAAGTGTAGAAAAAAATTGACAGCCAAATCCAAGTAGAGGAAGACACCTATTACCACCAAAAAGTCATCCGACCCAAAAATCCAAAATCACAAAAAAGTTCCCAAAAAAATTCAATTTTTCTTAGGCAGACGATTTTAATGCATATTCTTGCACAAAATACTCCTAAAAGTGTAGAAAAAAATTGACAGCCAAATCCGAGTAGAGGAAGACACCTATTACCACCAAAAAGTCATCCGACCCAAAAATCCAAAATCACAAAAAAGTTCCCAAAAAAATTCAATTTTTCTTAGGCACAAGATTTTATTGCAATTTCTTGCACAAAATACACCTAAAAGTGTAGAAAAAAATTGACAGCCAAATCCGAGTAGAGGAAGACACCTATTACCACCAAAAAGTCATCCGACCCAAAAATCCAAAATCACAAAAAAGTTCCCAAAAAAATTCAATTTTTCTTAGGCACAAGATTTTATTGCAATTTCTTGCACAAAATACACCTAAAAGTGTAGAAAAAAATTGACAGCCAAATCCGAGTAGAGGAAGACACCTATTACCACCAAAAAGTCATCCGACCCAAAAATCCAAAATCACAAAAAAGTTCCCAAAAAAATTCAATTTTTCTTAGGCACAAGATTTTATTGCAATTTCTTGCACAAAATACACCTAAAAGTGTAGAAAAAAATTGACAGCCAAATCCGAGTAGAGGAAGACACCTATTACCACCAAAAAGTCATCCGACCCAAAAATCCAAAATCACAAAAAAGTTCCCAAAAAAATTCAATTTTTCTTAGGCACAAGATTTTATTGCAATTTCTTGCACAAAATACACCTAAAAAAGTAGAAAAAAATTGACAGCCAAATACGAGTAGAGGAAGACACCTATTACCACCAAAAAGTCATCCGACCCAAAAATCCAAAAACACAAAAAAGTTCCCAAAAAAATTCAATTTTTCATAGGCACAAGATTTTATTGCAATTTCTTGCACAAAATACACCTAAAAGTGTAGAAGAAAATTGACAGCCAAATCCGAGTAGAGGAAGACACCTATTACCACCAAAAAGTCATCCGACCCAAAAATCCAAAATCACAAAAAAGTTCCCAAAAAAATTCAATTTTTCTTAGGCAGACGATTTTATTGCAATTTCTTGCACAAAATACACCTAAAAGTGTAGAAAAAAATTGACAGCCAAATACGAGTAGAGGAAGATACCTATTACCACCAAAAAGTCATCCGATCCAAAATCACAAAAAAGTTCCCAAAAAAATTCAATTTTTCTTAGGCAGACGATTTTATTGCAATTTCTTGCACAAAATACACCTAAAAGTGCAGAAAAAAATTGACAGCCAAATCCGAGTAGAGGAAGACACCTATTACCACCAAAAAGTCATCCGACCCAAAAATCCAAAATCACAAAAAAGTTCCCAAAAAAATTCAATTTTTCTTAGGCAGACGATTTTAATGCATATTCTTGCACAAAATACTCCTAAAAGTGTAGAAAAAAATTGACAGCCAAATCCGAGTAGAGGAAGACACCTATTACCACCAAAAAGTCATCCGACCCAAAAATCCAAAATCACAAAAAAGTTCCCAAAAAAATTCAATTTTTCTTAGGCAGACGATTTTATTGCAATTTCTTGCACAAAATACACCTAAAAGTGTAGAAAAAAATTGACAGCCAAATACGAGTAGAGGAAGACACCTATTACCACCAAAAAGTCATCCGACCCAAAAATCCAAAATCACAAAAAAGTTCCCAAAAAAATTCAATTTTTCTTAGGCACAAGATTTTATTGCAATTTCTTGCACAAAATACACCTAAAAGTGTAGAAAAAAATTGACAGCCAAATACGAGTAGAGGAAGATACCTATTACCACCAAAAAGTCATCCGATCCAAAATCACAAAAAAGTTCCCAAAAAAATTCAATTTTTCTTAGGCAGACGATTTTATTGCAATTTCTTGCACAAAATACACCTAAAAGTGCAGAAAAAAATTGACAGCCAAATCCGAGTAGAGGAAGACACCTATTACCACCAAAAAGTCATCCGACCCAAAAATCCAAAATCACAAAAAAGTTCCCAAAAAAATTCAATTTTTCTTAGGCACAAGATTTTATTGCAATTTCTTGCACAAAATGCACCTAAAAGTGTAGAAAAAAATTGACAGCCAAATCCGAGTAGAGGAAGACACCTATTACCACCAAAAAGTCATCCGACCCAAAAATCCAAAATCACAAAAAAGTTCCCAAAAAAATTCAATTTTTCTTAGGCACAAGATTTTATTGCAATTTCTTGCACAAAATACACCTAAAAGTGTAGAAGAAAATTGACAGCCAAATCCGAGTAGAGGAAGACACCTATTACCAGCAAAAAGTCATCCGACCCAAAAATCAGTGTAGATTTTGTGGACGGACATGAGTGAAACCATAAGAGTTCCTTTTTGGTTTCCTGGTGAACTGAACCTTTATAACAAAAAAAAATAATTACAACGTTATTTATAAAATATGAAAATATTATTAAAATTTGAAAAAAACTGCGTTATCATAGTAATGACGTAACTTATCATCAATCGGTTAAGTAGATTCCTCTGATTACACAGTGAATTACCAACTGATATTAAATCACTTACCGTTCAAGTAACGAACTACAAATAATAATTATAAATAGTAAATAACAAACAAAAAATAATTATATTATAAAATATAATTATATTGTTTATAAAATATTATTAAAAAATTTTTTTCTTTGAAAGTAGATATTATACAAAATATGTTTGTACCATTATTTGTTTTTGAAGTGCAAATTTGAAGAAAAAAATTTCAAAAATTGAAAAAGAAAATTTTTTTTAGTATTTTTTATGTTTTTTTTATAGGTTGAAACTAAAAAAAAGAATTGCCAAAAAAATTAAGGGGTAAAATATAACAAGGAAAACGGAAAATAAATTTTTTTTTTTGTCATTTTCATAATATAATTTATAATTTTTTATTATTAAAATTTATATATATATATAATTAATTGGCTTCAAAATGATCTTTGTCTATTAGAATTATTGAGAAAAATGCAAAAGAAAAAAAAATAATTATATTTCCAAAAATTTTTCTATATATCAGGTTTTTTTTTAGTAAAATTTATATAGAAATAAATTGTCACCCAAACAAAAAAAACGAACAAAAAAATATATCACCAGAATTTAATAAATACATTGCCAAATTGATTGTTTATCATTCTTTGTATATATGTAATATGTATATATTTATATTTATATATATATAATATAAAAACATAATATTTACAGACATGAAATTGAAATTGGAAATCTCTTTTTTCTTTTAACGTCAAAAACGAAATACGTAAAGAGTATAATATTTTTTTTTGTTTTATTATTATTATTATTATCGAAAAGCGCAATTTACTGCAACATACAACGAACTGCGCACTAGACTCGTGCTTTATTTATTTATTTATTAATTTATTATTATTTGAATTTTTTTTTAATTTGCAAATTTTATTTGCCATTTTATCATTCTCTCGACGCCTTGCGTTTTTTTCTCACTCACTCTCACTCTAATTTTATTATATTTTCACAAATTCGAGCGCTAATGTTTTTTTTTTTTTTTTCTTTAAAAATATAAATATCAAGCACAAGCTACAATTTTTTTTTTATTTAAATTCCATTCCATGTAAATTTCGTTATTTTTTTTTACTAATTTTTAAATTCCATTCAACAAGAAAAAAATATTGATTAAAAAAAAATTACTTAACATTAGTGACTAAATTATTATTATTATTAATATTTTATTAAATCAGCGTTAAATCATTTGCACTGATTTTGTATTTTTTTTTTTTAAATTTAATCTCAAAAAAATAATCCACTTTCACATTTTTATTAATTACTTTCATAAAAAATAAAAGAACAAAATTTTGTTTCTCTTTCTTTTTTATGGCGGAAAAAATTTTTTATATCGTTTTTCGTTTCGATATAATTGTCATGCCTTAACTCTCTTTTTTATAAATTGGAAAATCTCATTCATTCGAGAAAAAAAGGAATAATTTTTTTAATAATTGATCCAAATACACGTTGGCTAAAAATTAAAAATTTTTTTTATCTATTGATTTGAAAGTCGATATGTCGTTTAATATTTTTTTTTAACGTTTTTCAAGAGATTCGATTTTTTTTTTTTTTTGAGAAAAAAAATAACGCTACAATTATTTTTTTTAATGCAATCTTTTTAAAAAACTTTTGACAATTTTCTCTTTCAAAAATATGTTTTTTTTTAGTATTATTATTAAATATTTACAGGTTTAATATAGGAAAATTGTAATTTTCTTTTAAAGATTTTTTTTTTCTCCACCTCACAACTTTGAATATGAATAATTTTTATCGATATAAATAAAATTGAAAAATTCAAATTGTTTTCTAAATTTGACAAGTGAACAATTACAAAACATGTTGATAAATTTTGTTTTCGAAAAAAAATTTTTTTTCCAATTTATGTTGTGTCGGTAAAGTAGAATTCTGTAGAAAAATTTTAATTAAAATTAAAACGAAATTTAAAACTTAATAAACCAAACTAATAATAAATAATAATTATAATAATGATAATAATAATAATAATATTAATAGTAATAATAGTAATAATATTAATAATAGTAATAATAATAGTAATAATAATCGAGTCTCTCGAAAACGCTCTTCTTTGTCGATAATTGCCAAAGTCGAGGTTAAAATTTGACTTATGGCACAGTTTTTTTTCGTACTTTCAAAATTGAAAAAAATACCTAAAAAAATAAATTAGTCAAAAAATTTCGAATAATTTGTTTCTAAAAAATAAATTATTTTCAAATATTTGCCTAAAAATAACATTAAAAAAAAAGACACGCACACATCTTTCATGCATCTTAAATAATTTTTCTATCATTCTAAAGAGAAACAAAGTTTCGAGAAATTTTTTCCTTCTTTTTTGTTACTTCGATAAAAATTACAACGACGATAAAATTGAATAATAATCTCCGTATTATAATTTTTGTTTTTTTTGCCATTGAAAAAAAAAATTGTAAACTATCGGTAAATCGTCGATAAAGTAGACACACACACACAGATGGCGCCACTAAAGATTTTTTTTTTTATCGCCATCTACTTTACCGACGCAACATAGATTGGAAACACATGTTTGAAAAAATTTCGCCAAATATTAACTGAATTTTTATCATAAAATTAAAACAAAACAATATTTGACAATTACAGAAAAAATGCTCTAAAAATAAAAAAAAATTAATTTAAATTGAAAATTATGCCAATTACAATTTAGAATCAAAAAAAAAAAATTTCTCTTTTCAAGGCAAAAAAAATGTTTTTCATTTTTAAAAAAAATTAAATTTTTCTCGAAAAAAAAAACAAAATTCGTTCCTTTGGACCGAGCGAGAGAAATTAAATGCGAACGTTACTTGGAATTTTTTTTTTTCGTTCACAAATCGAAAAAATTTAGAGGCGTGGGGGGTTAAAAAAAATATTAAATATGATACATTTTTGTCAGTCGTACGGTTGTTCGCTGAGCGTCTTTAGTCCGATTTTTTTTTTTTTTTTTGCTGTGAAAACACCGATTGTTAAACGGTGCTGACGTCAGTAATTAATAATTATAATAATAGTAATAATGATAATAATAAAAATAATAATGATAGTAATGATAATAATTATTATTAAGACAATAAAAATGAAAAGATTAAAAAAAAAAGTAGTTAAAGAGAATTGAAAACGTAACAAAATTGAGGTAACGATAGCTTAAAATTAAAGCGCCTTTTTTTTGTTCTGAAAAGTGAAAGTCAACACCGTTCGGTTTTTCTTTTTTTTTATATATAAAAAACTGACTAATAAACGGCGCTAATATAGATTTTTTTTTAATTTTAATATGGGCCTGTATTAAAATAGTAACTATGAACAACAGAGGGCACAGTAGCGTATTTTTTTTCTCTTTTGTTTTTGTTTTTTTTTTTTCGTTAATAATAATGACAATTACCTAAAAACTATATGACGAGGGCCATGTCTTTTTTATTTGGCAGATTCACTTTCTTCCCTTGCCAAAGGCTGTTGTGTATCGTGAAGGCGTCTATGGTTACAGTCAAATGTTTCGTGTGAACTTGCGAGAAACATTTTCCCCCAGAATTGTATCTAAAATTTATTATTTTTATTTAAAAAATTACAATTAAAATGATATTAATATTAAGATTTCAATTATAGTACGATATTAATTCATAAAATAGACAATGCTGATTTAAAAAATTGTCACTGCGCAGAAATTGAAGCAACAGAAAACTAATGCGCAGTTGAAAATAAGTTTCCTCACATCACGACTTTGACTGTCGATAATATTCATCTAAATTAATAAAATCGAAAAATTCAAATTGTTTCACAAATTTGAGAAGTGAACAATTGTAAAACAAATGTGAAAAAATAAATAAAGTGTATTTATTTGAATTTAGCAAAAAAAAAAAATTTTAAGGTTAGAAAGAAATTTACACAATTAACAAAGTGTGACATTATTCTTTTTAGTCGTGAGTTGCCTTAGAAAACTGCGCAATGATTAATTGCTCAAAAAATTACTGCGCAACTACTTTAATATTCCTCACTTCAGAATTTTGGTTGTAAATAATTTTTATTGAAATTAATAAAATCGAAAAATTCAAATTGTTCCACCATTCCTAGGTGTGAACAATTCTAAAATAGATTAGAAAAAAAATTTTTATTTAAATTTACAAAATAATTTTAAGGTTAGGTAAGAATTTAAATACAATTAATTACGATATAATTAAATTTTCTAGTCGTAAATTGCTTTAGAAATAAACTGCGCAATGATTAACTGCCAAAAAAAAACTTCTGCGCAGCTACTTTAATATTCATTCACTTCACGACTTTAACCTCAAATAACTTCCTCAAAACACCATTAAATTCAAAAACAAAATTATTTTCGCTAATTTAGCAAGTGAACAATTATAAAAATAATATTCAAAAATAAAAACCATTTTTCTTTTTTGAAATACATAATTTTTTTTTTTTGGAGGACTTACTTGAAAAATTTGTCGAACATTTTATCGATGACCTGTTTTGGTCCAGTGCCATAAAGTTTCGTGATATCATCACGATCAGGGCAGTACGAATAGAGTGCACGAAATTGACATCCCGCATCACGAAACAAAATGAGAAAATGTTTACTCTCTGAACGTGCAATTTCATCAAGGACACGTCTTTTGGCGTCACGATTCACTATGCCAGGAAAAACACAATACTCGACTGCATTCAACATTATATTGCGATTCGACTTTGTCGCCGGTTGTTTATAAAGACGCGGTCCTGTTAAGTGAAGAAACAAAAAAAAAATTTTTTATTTCATATTTTATATCGATTATGTACCAATTTATATCGATTATTTTTCGATACTTTACAATCGTTTTATATCGATTTTATTTTGATACTTTATTATCGATTAGTATCGATTTATATCGATCATGTATCGATTTATATCGATCATGTATCGATTTATATCGATTATGTATCAATTTATATCGATTATAAATCGATTTATATCGATTATAAATCGATACTTAACAAAAGTTTTATATCGATTATGTATCGATACTCTACAATCGATTATGTATCGATTATAAATCGATACTTATAATCGATTATAAATCGTTACTTTACAATCAAATTATATCGAAAATATCGATAAATTTAGATCGATTTATCGATGATTATTTATCGAAAAAAAAAGTTATTTACCATTGTAATCCATCATGGAACTGGGAGTACTACTAATATCACTACTGCCATCGTCGAAGACTCTTCGTTTAGTCATGAGACCAGGCGGAAGTGAACCAGGACCGGAAGGCGATGGCAAATGCCTCATGCTACCCATCCCTGGACTTGGTGCTCTTCTAGGTGGCGTTGCTCTACCCAAACCACTGTCCGTATCTGCAGATTGACAAATCGCTTCTTTTAAAATCGCAACTACTTTATAATTGTAAATTATTTTCTTTTTATTTTTTATTTTTTTTTAATTTAATTAAATATTTAAGCTTGTTATATACATAATCCGTAATCCATTAACCAATTACCACATATTTTTTCTCAAGTACATTACATTGTAATTATTATTCAATATTACATATAATTTTTAAAAATAAATATCGATATTTTTCGATTAAACAATTTTTTGTCCAGTAATATCGATTAATTTTTTTTATCGATAAAATCTTTATTATTTCTTGATAAAATCGATAAATCGATTTTGAAAATCGATTCATTATTAATTTTCTCATAATTCGATTAAATATCGATACTTTTTTTTTTTTTATTTTTAAGTCAATATACAGTTTTCCTCCAAAAGCACCATTTATAATATATAGAATATAAAAGTAAATTAATTTCAGGTTAAAATTTGGCGGAATAAAAATAAAAAAAAAAAAAATTAAGAAAAACTTATAAATCTGGCAAATAATTTTTAGGACTAAATTATTTAAAGCGGGTAATAATAATTTATTTTAGAATAAATAAGGAAAATAAAGGGGTTTAAAAATTTTTCTTTTAAATAAATACACAGAATAGTAAATTATAAAAATTAAGTGAAAAAAAAAAATTATTTGTTAATTTAATAATAATGATTGTGTGTTAATTTTAATTCGAGTTATGAAAAAGAGAGATAATCTATAATATGTATTTAGTAAAATTTTTTGCTAAAATGTTCTTTTCTATAAACTAGATAATTTTTTTTAATTAAAAAAATAATAAAATTATTTCTAAAATTAATTTCGACAAAAAAAATAAAAACTAATTAAACATAATGAAAAATTGTATTAAAAAAAATGAAAAATTAGAAAAAAATAGTAGAAAAAAATAATTAATTCAGCAAAAAAAAAACTGTTTTTTTTAAATTGTTCTTTAAATAAAACACAAACACGAATTACATACAAAAAAGCCGTATATACAAAAATTTTCATTCTCAATTTTTAAATTGTTTCGAATAAAAAAAAATTTTATTTTTAACTTTTGGATTGAGGTCAAAAATAATTTATAAAAAATATTTATCAAAAAAAAAAAAAAAAAAAATGCAACCATTATTGGATATTGTAATAATAATAAAAATATTATTATTATTACTATAAAAAAATTATAATTATTATAATTAATTATTAATTTTAATTAATATAATAATTATAATTTTTTATAGTAATAATAATATTTTATTATTAATATTATTAATAATTAACAATTAAAATGCTGAATAATCGACAAATATTCTGTAAGATAACCAGGACCCATAGCTATAGTGCTGTACAATGATAAGCTAAACAAGCATTAAAAAAAAATTTATAATTGTTTATTTTATATGCGAATGTATATATGAATGTTTTTTTTTTTTATTATTATTACTTCAAAGTCTCAAAGTAGTTTACTTTTTCTATATAAAATTTTGAGAATTAAAATTATTGGAAAAAAAAGTAAAATTATAAAATTGACAATATTTGGATTTATAGGTTATGTAAAATATAATATATAATAATAATTATTATTTTTACAATTATAAGTATTGGAATTAATAAAATAAATAATTATTATATAAGAAATGTTATATTTTTTGTAATTTTATTGTTAAAACGTGTTAAAATATAACATAACCTTAAAATAGACGATTTTAACTTTTTATTCAATTACTAAACAAATTAATTCGTTACAGTAAGAAAAAAAGAAAAAAAAATCAAAATATTCGAAATTAATTATTTAAATATTGCATTTATTAATTTTTATATTAATTATATTTGTAAAAAAAAAAATAAATTCTTCAGTAGTATAGTGATGAGTATCCATAGAGATAATATAAATAGAGTGGAGATGGTCTGTATAGAGGCGTCCGTTTGATAGAAAGAGAACGCGATTTTAGCACCAGTAGGTGTCTCTCTTGCGCTGGTGCTTATTGAAGGACAGATACTGGTGTTAAATCTTTCTTCTCTTTCCAACCCATTCTGTTTATGTCAGGACACTTCCCTCTTACGCAGCCGCCTATACCTTGTCTACTCTATTTATATTATCTCTATGTGAGTATCTCCGTATCTCATTTCTCACAATCAGCTGTTAGTCAGCAGTGCTATTGCGCATGCTTCACAAAAATTGCCTGATTGGCTGAAAAAATGCGCGCGCGTTTATTTAAAGACAAAAATAAATTTTTTTCAATAAATCTAATTTATTTTCTACATTAAATAATACTATAAAAATAATAATAATATTTATATATATATGTATAATATTATAAATAATAAATATTCATAATTATACATATTTTATAATTATTTATTATTTATAATTATAATTTATATTATTATTAGTATTGTATTTCATTATTTTTATAATTAATATAAAAAATTAATATTAATATATTGTAATTTATAATAATAAAAATAATTATTATTATTATAATTGAAATTGTCAGTTAAAAATCATAAAATGAGACTTTGAATAAAAATAATTTTGTTATATTTTTGTTTTTTAATGTTGTAAAAGATTAAAGGTGTTCTTGTTGTTATATATATTAGGACTGCCACCTGTTCTGCGACCTGCACCATGCGACTACGTGTATACGCTAATTTTAATGTCTAGAAGACAAAATAAAAATAAATTTACTCGACATTTTGGCTTTTTGTTATATATAAAAAAAGGCAAATTTCCAAATTTCTTTTGCAAACTTCGATATAATAGAAATTTTTTTTTTTTTTTTTATAATAGAAACATGTAAAATAATGCATTTTTCTAAAACTATTTTTAAAAATTCAAAAAAGAAGACAACTAAAAAATTTTCTCACTTCACGACTTTGACTTTGAATAATTTTCACATAAATCAATGAAATTCAATAATTCAAATTGTTCCGTAATTCTGAGAAGTGAACCATTGTGAAATCGTTCAGAAAAAAATAAATTGACTAAATAATGTTTGAATTTACAAAGTAATTTTAAGGTTAGGAGACAATTTTAAATAATTTATTACAGTAGAATTAAATTTTTCAATCGTAAGTTGCTTTAGTGATAAACTGCGCAAATATTAACTGCCAAAAAAAACTACTGCGCAGCTACTTTAATATTCATCACTTCACGACTTTGACTGTCAATAATTTTCACATAAATCAATGAAATTAAAAAATTCAAATTGTTCCCTAATTCCGAGAAGTGAACTATTGTGAAATCGTTCAGAAAAAAATAAATCGACTAAATAATATTTGAATTTGCAAAGTAATTTTAAGGTTAGAATTCCAATTTCACTTTATTGGCAATTGAAAATCATTTTTTTTTAGACGAAGTTGCAAAAGAGGAAATTTACTTTTTTTTAAAACCGAAAAAAATGGAATGTTGCAAATATTGGAGACATCAAAAATCCAGAACCACGAGAAATATATATAAATATATAAATTATACATAATGTGTAGAATCAAATATTTATGTATATTGTATATATATGTATATAATACTAATAATAATGATGATAATAATAATAATAATAGAAAAAGAAGAAGAAATAGTAGGGGATAAACGTATTCCAAGCCACAGGGTGCTTCTTACCGCACAAATTCATCAAGGAATTCGACTTTCTCCCCTTAAAGTTTTGGTAAGTCGGGTATTTAGGCCTGCCTCTAACCTGTTGCTGAGGCTCCTGCGTATCTGCAATAATGCAACGTTTGCGTTGTTACACTCGCACGCCATTAATTATCGAATTTTATTTTTTTTCTCTCCCTCTCTCTCTCTTTTTCTCTGTATTTTTTTTTTTTTTTTTTTTTAATAACAATTTTTCCCTTTTTCTAATTAAATTATTAATATAGAAGAAAATATATAGAAAATTCATTAGTTTGACCGAAATTGCAAAATGTCCGAACATAACCTAAAAAAAGAAATTTTGGCGCAATTTTCAAAAAGGAAAAATTCTAATTGGTCGAATTTTTATATGAAAATTGCCTTCTAAATTTCTTTTTTGTAGGTTATGTTTTGTTCGGACATTTTGATAATGAAAAATTTGACGCGTTTTTTTGTAATTTTTGAAAATAATGGAAAAAATTCCATTGGGTACGAGTCTAACTACGAGGCAAATTCGCCGGTAACAAGAAAGCTTAACTTGTGTGCGAAAAATAAATTAGAAAAATAAATATTGGATGCTTAAATGTTTCGTTCCAAGGGAAATGTGTTTTTTCTATTTTACTATAAAAAAAAAAAAAAAAAAAAATTGTATTGGAATAAAGTTTTATTTGAAAAGAAAGCTAAAAAATCAAAAAGAAAAAACAAATAAAAAAAAAGAAAAAACTAATATGGAAAATGACAAAAAAAGAAAAATAGAAAAAATTAAATAAATTTCAAAAACGGTGATATTTTCGAAAATTGAAACACAAACAACAAACACTGGAAGAGGGACAAAAAAAAAAATTTTCAAAAATATGGAATTTTTTTTTTTCATTTAGCCAGGTGAGTCACATAAAGTGACAAATCATCTCATTGAAAAATTCTGCAACGTGTTTCTACGTGCGTTGATATATTAAATATAAATAGTCCAGCTAAAAAATAACGTCGAATAGCAAAATGCGGCATTCGATTTGCAGAAGTAAAACAAAAAACTAAGATTTTTTGGATTAATAAAAGAATGGAAATTTTTTGAATTTGAAAAAAAAACTCACCTCGTGACGTTTTATAGGAACCGCGACGTCCCAATTGATTGGTACTTCGACTTGGCGATGATCCTCGACCGTCGTCAGGCGAATCTACGGAAGATACTAAAAATAGGATAATTATTTAATAATATATTCTGTTAGTAGCTTTTTTCATATTTTCAAAATTTTTTTTATATTAATAATTAATTTTTATTGTCTTTTTAATATTTATAATTTTTTATTGTATTTAAATACTTTTTTTTAAATTTTTTAAATATTTTTCTTTAATTTTTTGTATACTTTTTTTTATTTATTTTTTTATTTCTTCAGATTTTTTATAACTTTCATAAAAACGATTACTATTTATTCAAAATATTAATATGTAATTATTAATTTTATTAAACTATTTTCTAGTATTTATTTATTTATTAATTTTTTTTTGTTATTTTTGTAAAACAAAAACAAATATTAGTCATGCATAAAAAATATATAATCACAACTACTTTCTAGAGCCAGTGCTTTTTGTGTGAAAATAATAAAAAAAAAAAATTTATTTTCTTAATTTAATAATTATTTAATAGGATGAGAAAAATTAATTAAATTTTTTTTTTTTTTTTAATTCAAACTGATAAGAGATGTTTTTTTAAAGTTTGAGAAAAAAAAATTAATATAAATAAAAAAGAAAGAAAATAATACAACATAATTTTTAGATTCTTATTATAAATGATAAAAGTATTTTTTAAGAAAAAAAAAATGAAAAAACAGGAAAAAAAGAAAGAAAAATATAATAAATTGTAATTAAAACTAAAGTAGAAAAAGAAAATAAAAAAAGTGTGTGTAGTGCATACCCCTGAGACTGCCTCCACGATAAAGTGGACCAGATCGTCGATCGTCGAGATGAGCGGCTGTGAGACTGTCCTGCGAGCCTCGATAATAATCCCGTCTCATTGTTGGGGATATCAGCGACGCTAAATTTAGTGTTTTAGTGCAAAATAAAAAAATAAATCAAAAACAGCTTTTAATTTTCGTCAAAATATCTTTTTTTTTGGTACTCATTGCTTTTTTTCTTTTATCTATTTTTCTTTCAAGAAATAAATATTTTAAAAAATATTATTATTATTTATTTATTTATTTATTCATAATAGTAGATTTTAATATAAATTAAATAAATAATTCAATCGTTATTTTTAATTAAATTTTCCAATAAATCTGCGCAAATTTTTATCAAAAAAAAAGAAACGACGAAAATTAAGAACTTTCGAAAGTGTCGTGTAATAAAGCGACGATTATTCTACTTTTTTTTTAAATAAAAAAATCTACACATAAATATATAATAAAAAAAAATCTTTTTAACATGCGAATAAAGGAAAGAATAAGATTTACAACAAAAAGAATTATTAAAAAAAAAAGAAAAAAATAATATATATATATAATAATTCTCAAAATGGTAAAAAGAGGAAAAATTTACCGGTACTGAGATTCGAGGAAGATCCCTTTTTCCCTCGACTTGGTGTAAGTGCACCAGAATCCAATTCAGCGCCAGCGTCAACGTGAATTGTTTTTGGACGTGGACGACTTGTTGTCACTTTATTCCTTAATTTTGTTGGTTTTATTGCATTCAATATTTCTTTATCAATGACTTTACCCTGAGACAGAAAAAAAGAGAGAAAAAAAATAGAAAAAAGATTAATACAATTAACAATATTCAATTTTTTTTTTTATTTTTTAATACAGAAAAACAAAAATAGAAAAAAGGAAAATAAAAAAATAGAAACCAAATAAAATAAAAAATAGAAAACAAAAAAAAATAAAATAAAAAGAAAGAAAATAGAAAAGGAAAAAATGAAAAAAAAAAAAAAAAAAAAAAAAAAAAAAAAAAAAAAATAAATAAAATAAGAAAAAGAAAAGAATTAAAAAAAATTAAATTAAAATAAAAAAAACCAAAAAAATAAAAAGAAAGAGAATAAAAAAATGAAAAAAAGAAAATATAAAATAAGAAATAAAAAGAAAGAAAACAAAAAAAATATAGAAAATAAGATAAATCGAAGAAAATAAAAATAAAATAAAAAAAGGAAATTAAAAAAAAATAAAATAACAAAATAAAAATGAAGAAAAAAAATTTTCCCATTTTTTTGATAGAAAATTACAACAAAAAATTATGAATAAAAAAAATACTTACTTCTCTCTCTGCCTCATCAATAGCTTTTTTCAATTTATATTGTTCCAAAATTGCCGCTCTTCTTTGTCTTTCTTCTTCTTTTTTCCTTGCTCTCTCTTCTTCTTTGAAATTTTCCTGTTCACGTCGCGCCTGTGCTTCAGCTTCTTTTCGCTCCTTCAATTCCTCTTGCTGTTGTCTTCGTTGCAACGAGAGAAGCATTATTTTCTCCTTTTTCCTCTCCATTTCGTCGAGGGAATTCTATAAAAGGAAAAAAAAAACAAAAAAAAATTTTTTTCGAGTTAAGCAACCCCAAGGCACATTACTATGGTATGGTGGCCCAAGTGGCGTTCATAATTTTTTTTTCTCAATTTTTTCTACCTTTCTAGCCTTAAATATACTCAAGCAATGTATAATTTTTTTTTTAAAAACAAATTTGTATTTTTTTTTTTTTGGACGCATAACTATTAATTAATAATTAATTCATTATTAAAAATAATTATTGAGAATTTTCATTTTTAGGAATTTTATTTGTCAATTATTATTTTTGAGCCAAATTTTTATTTGTTCGAATTACTATTTTTGCAGAATTTTCCCCAAAAACAATTTTCCATATTAGAGAATTTTTTACATACATATAACCGAAAATTAACTTCATAAAATTTTCAAATTTGTTCGAATTTTTATTTGTCCAAATTTTTATTTACTCGAATTTTCATTTATTATAATAGGCGCATTTTAATGAATTTTTATTGGCTAGAATTTCATTGCAATAGAATTTTGTTGAGATTAAGGTGGATCGAGTAAAATAACACAGTTGATTTGAGAACAAGATTTAATATTTATTATAAGTTAAAAATGAATATAAGACAAGAGCGAACTAATGGCGTCGAAACGAAAATTACTTGTATTGTGTTGTTGTGTGAAAGTGTACACTATATAGGTGGCGTTCAAAAAATAGTCACGTGTCCTTTTAATCGTACAAGGCGCGAAATATAAAATATTCGTTCTTCAACACTCCCCCTCGATTAAGGGACACTTTTAATCATTACACTGTAAATTTCACTAGACCGAGGCGGTCGATACACTTCATATGTTTCTGCTTCTGTAGACCTTTCGTCAAAACGTCGGCAGCCATGTCCTCCGTTGGTAGATACTCGATTGTAATTTCTCCTCTTCTTAGAATCTCGCGTATATAATGGTGGCGAACGTCAATGTGCTTACTCCTATTATGGAATATCGGGTTTTCAGCTAATTTACGGGCACCATTGTTGTCACAGAAAATTATTATTTTTTTCGTCTTTGCGAATCCTAGTTCATCAAGGAAACGTTTCAAATGTGTTGCTTCTTTTCCGGCTTCGGCTAAGGCCATATACTCGGCCTCAGTCGATGAGAGGGCCACAGTCCTCTGCTTCCTGGATTCCCATGAGACACTGGATCCTCCGAGAATGAACGAAAAACCGGTATAGGACTTTCTGTCATTTGGGCAATTTGCCCAATCGGCGTCTACAAATCCTTTCAGTGATTCTCCGGATCGATGAAAATGTAGACCCACATTTTTTGTTCCTTGCAGATAACGGAGTACGCGTTTTGCGGCCACCCAATGGCTCACATCGTGGCAATTATTGAATTGGCTAAGGTAACTGGTCGCATGTGCGATGTCGGGACGAGTACACATAGCCAGATACATCAATGCTCCCATAAGTTCACGATACGGGTGTGAGCTTTCTTCATGATCAGGATCCTTCGATTTTTCCAGTTTTACTCCAGGGTCCAGTGGTGTTGATACCGGTTTGGAGTCCGACATCCCAAAACGAGTGAGGACATCATTGATGTATCCAGTTTGGCTGATCTGAATTCCATCTTCTTTCATAATGAACTCCATTCCCAGGCAGTGTTTAACCGTTCCAAGGTCCTTAACATCAAAGATCTTCGATAGATAATTTCCGAATCTTGTGATATTGTTTTTGTTCCGAGAGGCGACGAGGAAATCGTCGACATAAATTGAAATTATCAGCAAATCTTTTCCTTTTCCTTCGTAGTACACACACGGATCGTGAGAAGATCTTTTTGCACCGAATTTTATTAATTCTTTGTCGATTCTAACGTTCCAACAACGTCCAGCTTGTCGTAGACCGTAGAGTGCCCTTTTCAGCAAGCACACTTTGTCCCCTGATTGAAGATCGATCAGCATTTTCTTTGCTTTCCTTCCGATATCAGAGTCGAGACTTTCGGTGGCGGTGATTTCTTCCAGAGCTTGAATGGTGTACTTTGGTACTTCCATGAGTACCTCCTCGTCAAGGGTACCATTTAAATAAGCAGTTGTGATGTCGAATTGTTTAATCGTCATGCCATGTTCCGCTGCTATTGCCGTTATGCATCTGATGGAGCTGAGTCGTGCCACGGGGGAAAATGTTTCGTCGAAGTCTATTCCGGGTCTTTGAGCAAATCCTCTTGCTACAACCCTTGCCTTCCTTCGATCCAAACTTCCATCTTCTTTATATTTATTCCTTAATATCATTCGACTACCTATTACAGCTTTATCACTCGGTCTGTCGATGATAATCCAGGTGTCGTTCTTGACAATAGATTTGATTTCCGATGTTATTGCGTTGCTCCAATCTTCAGCGTCTGGTCCTCGAATAGCCTGTTCCAGCGGTATTTCGGCGAGAGACACAATCTCCTCAATTGAATTTGAACAATTTAGCATGTTGTACTTCTTTCTGGGTCTCCCCCTCTGACCAGTTTTGACCTTCTGAGGTCTACCAGGGCCTCTGCGCTGATTGTCATTGTGAGCACCCTCGCCTTCGTTCTGTTCACTCTCTTCTTGATCGTTTGACTCGTCGCTCAACTCTTCTTCCACGTCATACCGATCGTCGTCCGATTCGACCATAGCTTCGTTTTCCTCTCGACGTTCGTGATCATTCTTATTTCTAGGTGATAAAATCAGTTCGAGTTTTGCACTATTGTCGTTGTTAAATTCGTTTCGATCTTCTGGTTCCGGCGATTTCTTTGGTAGTCCGATGAACTTCACATCCCTGGTGATATCAATTCGATGTTCACTGGGTATCCATACCCGATAGCCTTTGGATTCATCGGAATAACCGACAAATATTCCGTTTTTTGAGCGTGAGTCCAGTTTACCTTTTGTCGGCAATCTATTCAAGGTGAAAACTTCCGATCCAAATACTTGAAATTCGCTTACGTCCGGAGCTTTTCCCATCCATTTTTCGAAAGCGGTCATACCACCGAGACTTCTGGAGGGACAACGGTTTCGAATATAATTCGAAGTATTAACAGCTTCGCCCCAAAACGCTGGGGGAAGAGATGATTGCTTGAGGAGACATCTCGTCATATCCATCAGAATCCGGTTTCGCCTCTCCGCAACTCCATTCTGTTGAGGTGTATAGGTGACGGTTAACCTTCTACCGATGCCATTTTCTTTCAGGTACTCGTCGAATGCAGAGTTTATGTACTCTGTTCCATTGTCTGACTGAACAAATTGTATCCTGCATCCGTGTTTATTTTCAGCTGCGGCCTTGAAGTCCTTGAAAGCGGAAAGTACTTCGTCCTTTCTTTTCAAGAGACGTATCACGCACCAACGAGAGTAATCGTCGATAAACGTCGCGATATACCTGGCTTTGCCAACTGATTCCACGCGTATCGGGCCACATACGTCGGTGTGGATGATTTCCAGTAATTTCGAACTTCTCTCTGATGACTTTGGAAAAGGCGCTCGTGTCATTTTTTCACTGAGACATATTCTGCAGTTGAAACTATTTCGTGTATTTCCGAGATTCATACCACGCACATTTCCTTTCCGGTCACTGTCGATGAGATCGCGAACGTTCAAGTGTCCCATTTTCACATGCCACTCTTCCATTGCATTGTCCTTAACGTTTTCGTCGATCACAACATTTGAATTAAGTTCATTGTTCACTTCACGTATGTAGTATAAGCCTTCCTTTCGATCAGCAGCGAGTATTGTGTCGCCTTTTTCATTGATTATTTTAGCCTCTTGTTTGTCGAAAATCACTACACAATTTCTATCTGTGAGCTTTCCTACGGATAACAAGTTTGTGCGCAATTGAGGAACACGTAGCACGTTACTGACACTTATGTTTTTCACATGACCGTTGACGTCTGTACTAATAGCCACAGATCCTTTTCCTTCAATTGGAGTAGTGGATTTTTCACTGGCTAATTTGACACTGCCGGCACAAGGTTGAAGTTCGGTTATAAAATTCGCATCACTGTTTCCCATGTGCGTCGTGCAGCCACTATCAAGACACCATAATTCACTGCTTCGCGATTTGTCCGTCTCGTACGTTTCCGAACAATTCATGTTTTCTGCACTAACTAATAAACATTCGTCATACACTGTGTTTGCGTTGCTTTTATTTCCTTTCGATTCATTACAGTCAATCGCTTTATGACCGAGCTTACGACACCGGTGACATCTAAATTTAAAGGGTTCACTTTTTTGTTCACTGTCACGTTTTTTATTATCGTCTTTTCGAATTGTATTACGAGATTTAAAGAACTTCCTTTTCGCGAACATCGCGTCAGAGACATTGTATTGAACTCCGTTCTTTCTCGCTTCATATTCCTCTACTATTTTCACGCGTAATGTTTCGGGGCTCGGCAACTCGTCACGCGACTCGATCGCGCAGCGAAAATTTTCAAATTTAACGGGCAAACTATAAAGTAACATTACGGTCAGGAGATCTTTGTTTATATCTATATCCATTTCGCTTAGCTTGTCAATGATATCGAAGAATTTTTGCAAATGATCGTGCACGTCACCGTCGTCTGTCATTTTCAATAATGTAAGCATCTTAAGCAACGTCGCTTTTCGTGCTGGCCCGGTCGACTGGTAAATTGACTTTAACTTTTGCCACACTTCCTGCGAGGTGTTGCAACCTTTTATTTGCTTCAATTCCGACGGTTTGATTGCTAAGATGATGTCCGATCTTGCTTTTCTATCTTCATTATCCCAAGCTCCTGCTGCTGCCACGGATTCCGCGTTCCCGTCAACGATTGTGGGTCTGACTTTTTCCCCACTCACGTAACCCCAGGAATCGTTTTTTATTAAGATCGCTTCCATTTGAATTTTCCACGTGTCATAATTATTTTTACACAAAACTTCGATTCGAACACTTTGTGATGCCATTTTCAATCGCGAGATTCCACGTTTCGAGAAATGACGCCGACTTCAACACAACAGACGCGTCACACGAACTCCGCGTATAAGTTTTACTTTTCCTGCGATTTTACTATTTCCCGTCCTGGGCCCATAACCTGTTGAGATTAAGGTGGATCGAGTAAAATAACACAGTTGATTTGAGAACAAGATTTAATATTTATTATAAGTTAAAAATGAATATAAGACAAGAGCGAACTAATGGCGTCGAAACGAAAATTACTTGTATTGTGTTGTTGTGTGAAAGTGTACACTATATAGGTGGCGTTCAAAAAATAGTCACGTGTCCTTTTAATCGTACAAGGCGCGAAATATAAAATATTCGTTCTTCAACAAATTTTCATTTTTATTCATTTAAATGAATTTTTCATTTCTTCGAATTATTATTTTGATATAATTTTCCATTAAATTTCCGATTTTTCTGCTGAATTTTTTAATCGCAAAATTCATTTAACAGAAATTTTTAATTAATTTAGAATTTTTCATTTGTCCGAAATTTTTGCAAATGATCGAAATAAATCGATTTTGCCGCGATTTTTTAAATTATCAACCAATCAAAAATTATCCAATAAAATTGTGATTTGTTGATAATTTAAAAAATCGCGGCAAAATCGATTTGTTTCGGTCATTTGCAAAAATTTCGGACAAATGAAAAATTCTAAATTAATTAGAAATTTCTGTTAAATTATTTTTGCGATTAAAAAATTCGAACAAATTTGAAAATTCTGTGAATTGAATTTTCGGTTATATGAAAAATTCTCTAATATAGAAAAAATCGTTTTAGGTGAAAATTTTGCAAAAAAATACTAATTCAAACAAATTAAAATTCTGTCAAGTAAATTTTCGATTATATGAAAAATTCTGTAATATGGAAAAAAAATCGTTTTGAGGAAAATTTTACAAAAAAAATACTAATTCGAACAAATAAAAATTTGTCTCAAAAATAATTATGACCAATTGTAATTTCAAAAAATTAAAATTCCAACTAATGAATTTTTAGAACATTGGTCCCATTTCTTTTTTTTCCTAAAAAATAAGTTTTTTTTCAACAAAATAAATTTTTTTCAATAAAATAAATATTTTTTTAAATAAAATATCTAAATCTTTTTTTTCAATAAAATAAATCTTTTTTTTTGAATAAAATAAATTCTTTTCAATAAACAAACCTTTTTCTTGAATAAAATATACTTTTTTTTTGTTGAAAAAAAGCCTTTTTTTGGAATAAAAAAATAAAAAATCGCATTTATTTTATTTCATGAAAAAAAAAGAAAAAAAGGGTGAAAAATTAAAAAACTAGAATCACTTACAGGATCGGGATTCGCCAATTGATTTCCAATAACCAAACCAACACCACTTGTCGTTGTTGTTTGTGATTGTTGTCTTGGATCAGATTGTAATTCACGATTTCTCATTTCCCTCTGCCTTTGCTCCTTATCAATTTCCCTTTGTAATTCACGATCTCTCATTTCTTGTCTCACATATTCACGTTCAGCGGCCAATCGTTGTTTTTCTTTTTCAGTTTCACGTAAATTATCCTGCTGTTGTCGTTGACGTTCAATTGCTGGCGATTCAGAACGCATAATTGTTGTTGTGGAAAAATCATGATTATCAGTTGATTCAATATAAGCAGATATGCTACGTTCTTTTTTTGGTGATGCCTTTTTTTGACGTAATGTTGGTTTTGGCTTTTTTGGCGCATCATTGTCAAATGAAATATAAAAACCTTTCTCAGCACTATTATCAACAATATTAATTCCACTTGTATTTAATTCATTAATATCAGGCGACAATGTCGATGGCGATGGTGTTGTTTCACGTAACGATGAATGTGGCTGAAATGAATTTCTCGATATTGACGGCCTTGTTGGCGATGGTATCCTGTATGTTCGACTACCGGATGTTATGTGTTTTCTTATATCCTGCGAGAGGTCCTCATCATTTCCTAAAATTTGTTTTCATTTCACAATTATTTTTATTTTTTATTTACAATCTTCTTTTTTTTATTTACATTTTTAAATTTTATTTCTAATTTATTTATTTTTATTATTTATCTAATTTGTTCTATTTTTTATATTTTATAAATTAATTTACAATATAAAAATAGAATCACCAAAAAAGTAAGTTTCATGGTAAGCGTTACAATTTTAACAATCGTTCAGGTTAAGCAACCCAAAGGCACGTTACTAAATTGGATGGTGGCCCAAGTGGCGTCTCTAATTTTTTTTTTATTTTTTCCCCTTATTTTCTCATCTACAATTATTATTCCACAAAAATCGAATTTTTTCCCCCAAATTCACTATTTTTCGAATTTTATTTATTTTTTTTTGTTTTGTTTTATTCTACTTTTATTTTCCTTTATTATTTTATTACTTTTATTAATTAATATAAAAAAAAAGTTCTTCTTTTTAAAATTTCACATTCGCGACACTTTCAAAAATGTTCATCTTTATGAAAACCATAGAGCGTGTGTCCTTTTAGTCTCAATGCATAAACCACATCCATTGCAGTGACTGTCGATCTTTTAGCGTGCTCCGTATATGTAATAGCGTCACGTATTACATTTTCGAGAAATAATTTAAGACAACCGCGTGATAATTCATAAATTGGTTGTGAAATTCGTTTAACACCACCTCGTCGTGCTAAACGACGAATATCATTTTTTGTAATACCACGAATATTTTCTCGTAAAACACGTCGTATACGTTTTTGACCATGTCTACCGGTGCCTTTTTTATCTCCATTTGTGCGCGCAGACATTTTTCACAAAAATTTATTTCCTACTATTTTCACTGATAAAAAATTATTTTCCGTTGTAAATTTTAGTTTTTTTTTTTTACTATTTTTACTAATAAAATTATTTTCCGTTGTAAATTTTAGTTTTTTTTTTTTTTTTACTATTTTCACTGATAAAATTATTCTCTGTGAAAAATTTTATTTTTTTCTACTGTATTTTCACTAATAAAATTATTCTCCGCGTTGTAAATTTCGGTCTTGGTTTTTACTAATTTTACTCCCTGTACGTCGTAAATTTTGTTATTTTTACTTTTATTTTCAAAAATTGGAAAAAAAATTAAAAAGTAACGAAGACTTTTTTTTTTAGCAATTTTCTTTTTTATGAATTCACAATTTTTTTTCTGTGTAAAAAATAAAGTAAAAATTTTTTATTTATTTAATTTATTCTTTATTCAGAGAAGAAATTTTTTTTTTCTTTTATTTCTTTTCTTTTTTTTTTCTTATTCTTTAATTTCTGTTTTGTATTCGAAATAACTGTTTACGTGGTTGAAAGTTGAAACTGAACTGACGACTGATTCATTGTAAAAAATCTCGAAAGTAGTCATAATACACACACACAGAGAGAGAGAGATATGAATATATACTAAACGTAATCTGCGCGCGCAAAGTCTGCGCTTTTTTCTATTGGTGTTTAAGTACTTTAGTCAAAAAAGAAAGAGACGTTCAACGAATTAATTAAGACAAATCTAACTTTTTTCTTAGTCTTTAATATATCGAAAAGTTCAACATTTTCAAATTTTTCTCTCCATAAATAAAAATCTAAAAAGAACATTGTAAATTTTTATCATAATATTTTAGATAAAACAAAGAAACGACACACTTTTTGAAAAAAATTTGCAATAAAAAAAAAAATTTTACCGTCAAAAGCCTTGAAAGTTTTTTCCATGAATATTAAGAAAAAAAAAAAAAGAAAGGCGTTTCTAAAAACTCTAACAAAATTAAACAAAGACCATGAAGAGGTTGCATTTTAAATAGTTTTTATGACACGTTCTCCATAATATTTGTATTTTATGGCACGCACAATATTCATGGTTTGACATTTATGGGATTCCATGAGATTTATTTAAAATAATTTTATTGTAATACAAATGTATTTGAGGAGATTATTTTTTCGTTTAATAATTCTATTTTCATTTTTTTATCTTCTAAAAATTAGTTAGAATTTTAATTTAATTTATTTATTATTTTATGAAATTTAATTTGTTAAATAATTATTTTTGAGATGAATTTTAATTTGTTCAAATTAGTATTTTTTTGCAAAATTTTCACCTAAAACGATTTTTTCTATATTAGAGAATTTTTTTATATAAACGAAAATTCAATTCACAGAATTTTCAAATTTGTTCGAATTTTTATTTTGCAGAATTTTTATTTACTCGAATTTTATATTTTAAATAAATTAATTAATTTAATTTTAAAGAATTTTTATTGGCTAAAATTTCATTGAAATAGAATTTTCATTTTTATTCTTTTAAATGAATTTTTTCATTTATTCGAATTATTATTTTCATATAATTTTTCATAAAAAACCGATTTTTCTGCTGAATTTTTTAATCAATCGCAAAAATAATTTAACAGAAATTTCTAATTAATTTAAAATTTTTCATTTGTCCGAAATTTGCAAATGACCGAAACAATCGATTTTGGCGCGATTTGTTTCGGTGATTTGCAAAAATTTCGGACAAATGAAAAATTTTAAATTAATTAGAAATTTCTGTTAAATTATTTTTGCGATTAAAAAATTCAGCAGAAAAATCGGTTTTTTTGTGGAAAATTATATGAAAATAATAATTCGATTAAATGAAAAAATTCATTTGAAAGAATAAAAATAAAAATGAAAATTCGATTGCAATGAAATTCTAGCCAATAAAAATTCATTAAAATGCGCCTATTATAATAAATGAAAATTCGAGTAAATAAAAATTTGGACAAATAAAAATTCGAACAAATTTGAACATTTTGTAAAGGTAATTTTCGGTGATATGTAAAAAAAAAAAAATTCTGTAATATGGAAAATTGTTTTGGGGAAAATTCTGCAAAAATATTAATTCGAATAAATAAAAATTCAGCTCAAAAATAATTATTGACAAATGAAATACTATAAAATAATAAATATTATTATTCTCTATTTTTATAAATAAATAAAATGAAAATTCTAACTGATTTTTAGAATATGTACAATAATGCGTACCGATAATATTAATTTACAATGCGGTTTTCATTTATCAACAGAAAATAATGAGAATATTGCAGTTTTGTTTCAAAATTAAGAAATCTTTTTTTTTTTATGTATCGTTTCCGTTTCTCTTTTTTGTCAATGTATGTTTAGCTGATAATTTTGAAACTACGATATATTATCTATTTTTTCAGAAATCACAAATTATAGCTAATAATACAGTACAACCTCGCAAACTGCCCTTTTTTTCCGAGAATCTCCCTCGTTAACTCTCAATTCTCCCTTCACTCTCTAACCCTTCGCACTTCAGCAACGTACATTTTTCAATTAGAAAATTAAAAATTGATTTTTTGTTTCTTTCTTTTTAGGATTCCGTTCACGCAGTAAACCGAAAAAAAAAATTATTATTATTATTTATTACTATTATCTATTGTTATTATTTTTTGTGGTTTTTTTTTTTTTTTGAAATTATTTTTAATTTAATTTTTTTTTTTTAATTTAATTTAAAACACTTATTACAGGGAAATTTTAAATTCTTTTTTTGAATTTAAATAAAAACGAAAGTGTAAATTTTCAACAAAAAAAATATTTTTTTAAAATTAATATTATTTTCTTCACTTACCGATGAAGGAAATATTTTGTGGTTCCATATCGTCAACTGGCGGTGCAGGAACGGAACTATGAACCGTGGGACTTTCGCATGTAATTGGTACATGATGATGATGATGATGAACTGTGGGCCTTTTTATTTCAGGACTATCGCTCATCAATTGACTTATTCGATGAACCTAAAAGAAAAACAAAAAAATATATAACAAATAGAAATTTGTTTATTTTATTTTTTGCAATAGAAACAATAATTCGATTTCATTATTTTGAAAATTGTTCATTTTGCAAATTTTTTTTTTTTGCATTTTGATTACTTTTTTAATTCAATTATTTTAAATTAAATTTTTTTCCTTCCTATTTAATTATTTCATTAATTTATTAAATAAATTAGAAATTAGCAAATTAATGAAAAATAATAATTTTTTTTTATCAATTTCGAGAATTTATCTTTTATATTATTTTATTAAAAAATTTTATTGTATTTTTTTTTATTTCATTTTAGTAATTGAGAATTAGATTTTGTTGACTTAATTTATTATTATATTATTTTGCTTCTAACACCTTTTTTTTTATTTAATTTATCTGTGATTCATTGTGTCATTTTTTTCATTTTATTATTTGATTAATTTGTATTTCTTAATTTTTATTTTTAAATTCCGTTCAATATTAATATTTGTTTCAAACGAAATAGCACATTGTAAAATTGTAAAATTAAAAAAAGTGTATATATATATATATACAATAAGGAAATAAATTTTTATCTTATATTTTATCTAATAAAAGAATTAAAATAGAAAAATAGAATAATAAAAAGAAAAAAACAAACCTGTAAAGTGTGATAACGAAGAACACTACTCGAATTTGTATTAGAATAAAATAAATACATATTTTAGCCCTTAAACTTCTTAAATAAATAAATAAATAAATATTTTTTAAATCAAAAAAAAAAATATCAAAAAATGACAAATAGATAATAAATTTTAATAATGATTATATCGAGAGACAAGACAATTCGTCACTGATCCAATACAGTATGTACACATGTATATTATTTGATCTCAGGTGTTAAGAAACTAGTGTGGGAAGTCAACAGCCATCTTGGGAGACTTTAAAAAAAAAAAAAAAGAAAAAAGATTGTCTATAACCATGAGTTACATCATCCAACTGGTTTTTCATTCTCACACAACCACAAAAAAAAAAAAACAAAAAAAAAAAATTTACCACTCTCATTGTCAATAAAATATTTCAAATAAAATAATACACAATTTCATTCAAAATATTTTTTTTTTCAATTGAAATTTGGAAAAAAGTTTAAATTATTTATTTTATTATAACTTATATTTTTCTTTCATTATTACTATTAATTATTATTATTATTATTTTATTTTTTTTTTTTATTTTCTTCCGCCCATTTTATTATTATATTAAAATATTATAACAATTATTATTATTTATTTATTTTTGTTACCCTAACATTATTATTATTATTATTATTATTATTATTATTATTATTATTATTATTATTTTTAATTTTTATTGTTATTATTGCTATTATTATTATTTTATTATTGTATTTTATTTTTTTCCGCCCATTTTAATATTATATTAAAATATTGTAACAATTATTATTATTACTTATTTATTTTTGTTACCCTAAAATTTTTATTATTATTATTATTATTCTCGAACGCGTATAGAATAAATTTATGCGATTTGTTTTTTTTTTCTTTTTTTTTCTAATATTTAAATAATATTTTTACTGTTTTATTATAATTTCTAAAATTTAATTACCATTTAAAATAGAAACATTTCTTTGATTAAATTTTTTTTTTTTCAATTTTATATTTAAAATATTTCGTTTAAATTTCAGACAATAATTAAATTTTACAGATTTTTAAATTAATTTTTAAAAAAAGTGAAATGAAATTTTTGAAAAGTAAATATAATCAAAAAATATAGAATACTCACAGCGTTTCGATGCTGGGGACTAGCAGAAGGTGGTGGCGTTTGATTAAAAACCGACGACGATGACGACGACGTTGGATAAACGGAAGTTGGATGACTTATTTGATTATTACAAAGACTATGATCACCGCCATTTAAATAACGTTGCTCCTGGCTAGTGTCGTGAAGGACAAATCCTTTTTGTTGAGGTAGATGGTGCACACCCCACGATCTTGTATCTTGATAAAGGCGTGGATCTTGTTGATAAACTGACCAAAAAAAAAAAAAAAAGGAAAAAAACAAATACTAATTAGAAACAATTTGTCCGAAAGCTTACCATTTTTTTTTCCTTTACCTCACTTTAATAATTATTATTTTATTTATTACTAAATAAATTTATAATTTATTCTAAAATAATTAGGAATAAATTATTTTATCTTCTAAAAATAATTAGTTAGAATTTTCATTTTATGAAATTTCATTTGACAATAATTATTTTTTAGTTGAATTTTTATTTTTTCGAATTAGAATTTTTGCAAAATTTTCACCTAAAACGAATTTTTGTATTTTACAGAATTTTTCATATAACCGAAAATTCCCTTCACAGAATTTTTATTTACTCGCATTTTCATTTATTTAACATAATAGGCGCATTTTAATGAATTTTTATTGGCTAAAATTTCATTGCATATAGAATTTTCATTTTTATTCTTTTAAATTTAATTATTTAATTATTTAATTATTTAATTATTTTCATATAATTTTCCACTAAAAACCAATTTTTCTGCTGAATTTTTAATCCCAAAATTCATTTATTAAGAGAAATTTCTAATTAATTTAAAATTTTTCATTTGTCCGAAATTTTTGCAAATGACCGAAACAATCGATTTTGGCGCGATTTTTTAAATTATCAACAAATCACAATTTTATTAGATAATTTTTGATTGGTTGATAATTTAAAAAATCGCGCCAATATCGATTTGTTTCAGTCATTTGCAAAAATTTCGGACAAATGAAAAATTCTAAATTAATTAGAAATTTCTGTTAAATGAATTTTGCGATTAAAAATTCAGCAGAAAAATCGATTTTTATGGAAAATTATATTAAATAATAATTCGGATAAATTGAAAAAATTCATTTGAAGGAATAAAATAAAAATTCGTCATTAAGAAAGAAAAGAAAGAAAAAAATGGAAAATAAATAAATTTTTTTTTCATACCGATTGACTGTGGATTAAAACGAGGATCAACTGGCGATTGAAAACTAACGGCGGCCATTTCATTGGCGAGACTTTGAGCCGGCAATGGCGAACCCCATGTTCTTCTTGGCAGTTGTTGTTGTTGTTGTTGTTGTTGTGGCAGCGGCGGAGGCTGATCGTGAAGATAAAATTGCGATTGTTGAGGATCTTGAATTCTCGCTGTCATTGAATTTGGTGACGGGACATTGAAACTCTGTTGGACAAAAATAAAATAAATAAATGTCACCATTTTTTTTTTTTTCACCAATTGTTTACTTTTTCGAAAAATTTTATTTTATTCAATAGAAAAAAAAAATTATTAAAGAGAAATAATAAAAGAAAGAAATTAAATAGAGAAAATTTAGAAAAGAAAATAAACGGAAGAAAATGCAAAAATAAAAAAGAGAAAAATCCGAAAATACAAAAATAAAATAGAGAAAAATCCGAAAATAAAAAAAAAGAAGAAAAAAATTAGGAAAATGAAAAAGAAACGAAAAAAGGGAAATTGAAAAAAAGAAGAAACAAAAATAAAATAAATGTAAAAAGACGAAAAGGAAAAATAGAAGAACCTGTAAATGCTGTTGACTGAAACTTTGCAATTGTTGAAGTTGTTGTTGCATTTGTTGCTGATGTTGCGTCATTAAATGCTGCTGTTGAATTTGATTCTGTTGATTCGCAAGACGTTGAATATCCGAATGAATTTCACTTAGACTAGTGTTCATTCTAAAAGGGAATAAAAAATAATTATTTTTATTTTTTTTTTTAAATACAAAATAAAAATCAATGTTCAAAAAAAATATTTTTAGTTTTTTTTTTCATTAGCCAAAAAGAAATAAAATACTTAACATTAGAAAAAAAAATACATTCAGTATTGAAATTAAATATAAAATTCAAAAGAAAATAGACAATTTTTTTTTTCATTGTAGAGAAGAGAAAAATATTTAAATTAAATTAAAAAATTTAAACTATAAATATAGAAAATAAATTATTTTTTTTAGAGAAGAAAAAAATATATTTACAATTAAATTAAAATTATCGAAATTAAAAATTTAAACTAAATAAATTATTTTGTTAGTTAATTAAGGGGAGGGACCGCTGAAATTTTAACACATCAAAATTAAAGCTGTTTAAGGGTGGTCAATTTTTTTTCTGACAATATTAATTATTTAAATGTATAATATATCATGAAAAATTGAAAAACTATAAATTTGTTAATAATTTTTAAAATCAAATTCAAAATTCTCGAAAATTTAAAATTTAAACTTCTCTCACAATTTTAATTATTTTTGACTGCCTATTTTTTTATACGCTTGTTTCATGATTCTAAACAATCAAGCGTATGGATTTTGAAAAATTTCAATTTTTTCAAAAAATGAAAATTTTGAAAAATAAAAATATTTGTAAAATTGTTAAAAATTACCTTTTGTAATTACCTCTCAGTAGAATAAGATTTTTGGTTGAAAAAAATTATTACCCCTAAACAAGATCAATTTTGATTGCTTTCAATTTTAGTGGTAATTTTGAAAAAAATTCAACTACTTCCACAATTTTCATTATTTTTTATTGTCGAATTTTTTTTACGCTGTTTTCACGATTTTAAACAATCAATCGTATGGAATTTAAAAAAATTTAATTTTTCCAAAAAATAAATTTTCTAAAATGGCTAAAAAATTTTTTTTTTAAATTTTAATAATTAACTATAATAATCTTGGTATTCATTCATTCATTCCTTCATTCATTCATTCCGTCCGGACCCCTGCTGGGTTTTCGGTGATAGAGAAAAGAACAAGTTATGGAGAGATTTTGCTAATGAGGGTTCACTTGACCTGCAATCTTTTAAAGAGGATTAATTAATAACTCTGAGGACCCAGGTAATAATTTCTTTCTGTCTTTATCACGTAAAAAAACTATAAAGAAAGTCTAAAACTAAATAGGTAACGCATACCTTTCTTTCTTACACCAAGGAATATAACATAAGTACTTCTTCGTTTAACATTGCGTTTCTCTATCTAGACAATTCAAAATGGCATAAGAATATCTTCGTCTAAAATCTTAATCTTCTTCCTTTTTGTTTTGAAAATAAAAATAAATATATATATCTATATATATATATGTGCATACCTGTATTAGAGTCCCTGAAAATTTTAATAAAAAAATTTAAAAATTATTACCTAAGTTCTCAGAGTTAATCCTTATCAACAAAGGTTCTATTATCTAAGGGTATTGTTCCATGTAATAAATGGGAGAAAAGAAATTATTACTTGGGTCCTCAGAGTTAATTCTCATTGATTATTTAACAAAGGTTCTATTGTCCAAGGGTTGCTTTTTTGTGGTAATTAATCCGGGGTTTTAATACAAGTGTATATATATGTATATATGGTATCTGTAATGAACTACTGATTAATCATATAAGAGTGTCCTTTTGCACTTATTGGCTGATCAGTAGTTACTCATTCATAGTTCTCTAATTCTATTGGATATTGGTAGTTGTATTGGATAAAAGGCAAAATTTGTTATATTGAATTAAAGGCAAAATTGGTTATATTTAATAAATGGCAAAATTTGTTATATTGGAGAGAGTGAGCGAGAGGATTAAAGATATTTAGATTTTCATGAATCAAAAATAAAATTAAACGAAGTATACTATGGCCAACATAAAAGAGTATGTTATTTTGAGTGATGAAGATTTAAAAATTGTTAAAAATAGAAATAAATTGTTAAATGACATGCATATGTACAAATTTGAAGATTTATTAAGAAAAGATTCCAATTCTTTTTTCAATATGCAAAGTACTTATACTTTTATAGCCTTAATGAGGGGTGTTTAAATGTGCATCAAATGAAATATTTAATTAGATTGTTCCCTTTTAAACCAACAGTAGTTTTTGTAGTTGTTGATCAACAACCTTTTGGTAGTGTTGAGTGTGGAGTATATGCAATAGCATTTGCAACATCTATATTTTTTAACGTAATGTCAAACAGCGTAAATTATGAAACTGATAATAACAGAATGAGAAACCATTTAAAGTCAATGTTTGAAAATAATCGCTTAAATCATTTTCCGTCAATAAGAACGTCTCACAATAGGAATTCGATAATAGAGAATGATTGGAACCGTCTTTTCATAAATCGAGCTCAGGAACTTAAAAATAATATTTTGAACCCTTGTTCTGTTTTAATACTTTTCCCAGCAATAATATTAACAGAGTTCTATTAACACAATATTTAGAAATTAAACATTCTCTAAATGACACTAGTGAAGAGAAAATAATTCGTACAACTAATAATAATATGAACAAAATTTCACCACTTGAATATTCAGAAATGAAGTATTTTCTGAGTGAAGAAATTGATAAAAAAATAATTCTAGGAATTAAAGAAAAGGGAAGGCAACGCGCGAAGTTACATATGAACAGAAAATAATTAGACAAGAGAATGGTAGATTGAGAAAACGTAATCGTAATGAAACAGAAACAGAAATACAAAAGAAAGAACGCAAAAAAAATTTGACTTGCAAAAAAAGAAATTATCTATAGAAACTAAAGATGAAAGGAAAATACACAAGGATAAAAATTTGGCATGTAGGGAAAGAAAAATATCAATGGAAACTCAAGATGAAAAGAAAGTGCGTCAAGAAAATAATTTGTCATGTAAGAAGAACAAATTTTCTACGGAAACGGAAGATGAAAAGAAAGTGCGTCAAGAAAAGAATTTGGCATGTGAAAACGATAACCGAAATAAAAAAGTGTAAGAGATGCAATAATGTCTTAAACTTTTCAATAAAAGTAAGGTTCCACAGAATTATTTAGGTTTGATGAATGTAGAATGTAAGTTTTGTTATGTGTTACATTTTCTGTGTGAGAGACCGTCACATAGATTATTTAGTAGTTGCTGTCATAAGGGAAAAGTAAAGTTAAGCGCCCAAGTAGCACGGAATATTGGTTGATTGTAACATTGATATCAAGTGGGAATATTCCCGTGACATTCAGGCGATATCATAATGTCTTTACGGGGACATTCCTCGGTGATATTCACGTGTGATTCGTATGATATTGAGGGAATATTCCCGTGAAATTTGTGTGATATTGAGTGAATTATTCCTCTGATATTGAGGGAATATTCCAGTGATATTAATAAGATAATTTATAAAATTCTAACAAAATTTCAAATTTTTTTTATTGATTTATTTGTTTAATTAAATATTCAAAATAAACAACATTTTAGAATTTTCTAAATTACAGGAATATTGTCTCAATATCACAGGGATATTCCCTTAATATCCCAGGAATATTTTCTTAATATTGCGTGAATTTCACGGGAATATTCCCTCAGTACCATACAAATATCACGCGAATTTCACAAGAATATCACCGTAGAATGTCCCCATGAAGCGGACATTATGATATCGCCTGAATGTCACAACAATATTCCCGCTTGATATCACCTTGACATTCAAGCAATATTCCGTGCTCCTTGGGTGGTAGATTTAATATGAAGAAATTTTTTGTAAATTTCTAATATTAAATTTTTTGAAAAAAAAGAAGTGAATAAAGATATGGTTAATGCACACGAGCAACGTAGTCGGCCGCTTGCGGACGACAAAGTTGCTAGTTTATAATAATTTTGGATCCTAAATTATGCCAGAAAAAAAATTGACACTCTTTAACAATAATAACTTCAGTAGGCTGAAATTTCACCGGTCCCTCCCCTTAAAATTATGTAAATTAAAAATTTTTAATTTAAACTAAATAGAAAATCAATTATTTTGTTTTAAGGAAGGAATTTTTTTTTTTAAATTAAATTAAAATTAGACAGAAAATTAATTTTAATTTTTTTTTCTTTGAGAGAAAAATTTGTAGATTTTTCTTTTTGTTATTAAAAAATTCATTACTTACTGTGTAATGGATTGATGATATTGTTCGAGATCCATATTTTCAATATCGGGCGTACGTCGCGTTTCCACAAAAGGTGCACTTCCATCTTGTTCAAGCCATTTGTGTTCCACATCTCTGACATCTTCGCTAATTTCCTGTGGTTAAAAAATATAATGATTATTTTCATTTCAGAGATTCCTTAAAAAAAAAATAATAAAAAACAGTTTTTTTACTATTCCATTTTTTTATTTTATCTTTCATTGGAAATATTTCAATTAAAAAAAAAAATAATTACAAATTAAAAATATCAAAATTACAAACCGAATTATATCGAGAATTGTCTACATAAGAAAGAAGACGAGGGAGAACGATAGAAAAAAAGTAAAAAAAAAAGATCCGATGGAAATAATATTTATCCGTCTGTTTGATCAATAAGAACATTATTATACAACCGTTTTATACATATATATATATATATATATAAAATTATGTTAAGAAGTGAAAAGAATTTTTCACTCACAATTAGAAAAATCGGGAAAAAAATAAAAATTAAAAAACACGCACCGAAATTTGGAAAAAAAATTTTTTTACCATAAAATGTAAAAGAAAAAAGAAATAATAAATCGGAAACGAAAAGTTACAAAAAAAAATAAATTAATTAATAAAAAAACACGAAATTTGAAAATTGGGGTAAAAATTTAGAAATAAATTTTATTTTTACCAAAAATTTTTTTTACAAACGAATCTGAAAATGAAGTAACGAATTAATTTAAAAAAAATAAATAAATAAAAACGAAAGTGAAAAAAAATGTTCGTAATTAAAAAATACAAATTTTGATAAACAAAAAAAAAAATAAAAACAAAATAAAGCAAATACCAAATTTAAAATCTGCAATTATAAAACTATTTTCAAATTCTCTGAATTAGGTATTAATGAAAAAAAAGAAAAAGAAAGAAACCATAAAAATTTGAAAAATTTGAAAAAAAAATTATACATATTTACAAAAATTGCAAAGAGCAAAAAACCAATAAACATTGAAAATATAAAAAAAAAAGTTAATAAACATCAAGAAAAAAATTTATTTACTAACCTTAAAAGAAATACAAAAAAAGTACAAAAATACAAAAAAAAAAATACAAAAAAGTACAAAAATACAAAAAAAGTACAAAAAATACAAAAATCCAAAAAACCATTCTAGAACCAATCACCGACAGGTGAAAATTTTCATGAAAAAAAAAACCATTGTAGAACCAATCACCAAAAAAGGAGAGGGAAAAAAAAATTTTCCAAAAAAAAAAAATAAAAACAAAGAAGGGAAAAAATACTAATAAAAAAAAATTAAAATTAAAACAAGCCATTCAAAAAGCCACATTTATTTTTTTCTATTATCTAAGTGTCAAATTTGGGGATAGGAAGAAGAGAAAAAAAAGAAAACAAAAAAATTTTCCACAAAACAAAATTTTTTTTTCTCCTGTTTTTTTTTTGGTTCATTTTAGGATTTATTTATTTACTTTTTTTTTTTTTTTCTATTTTACCTTAAGTGAGAAGGGACGTTGTGGTTTATCTTGTGAAATTTGTTGGGAAATCGAACAACTCTCAGCGTTAATTGGCGAATCACCGATGGATCCGGAATTAATGGGATTGGGAGGACCCACATCCACAGGACTATCACCTCCAGATGTTGATGAAGCGGGTGATTTTACTTTTCCCTGCAACCACATACCCAAAAAAAAAAAAAGAAAAAAAAAACCGACGTGCCAAATTTTTGTTATGCGTGTTTCATTCAACAATCCGTCACCAAAAATTAATTTTTTTCCAAAAGAACAAAATTTATTTTTCCTTTATTAAAAAAAAAAAATATAGAAAAGGGTTAATTTTTTTTTCTGAAGCAAATATTGAAAATTATAAATTTCATTTATAAATAAATAAATTGATAAATACAAATAAAATTAATTAATAAATATATAAATAAATTTATAAATAAACTAATTAACATAGAAATAAATTAATTAATAAATACATAAATTAATTAATTAATAAAGCAAATGAAAAAAAGAGTGAAATTAAAAAATGGCAAATTAGAGAAGTGCAAACAAAAATTTTTTAACAAAAACATTTTCCCAAAATATTAATAATAAGTGAATTTTTGTTAATTTTTTTCTATTTACACATTTTTTCCAAGAATTAGTGAAAATTATTTCACAAATTTTTTTTTGTGCAAAAAAAAGTTTTTTTTTTTTTTTAAAGATAATTGATAATAGAAGTAAAAGAAATAAAGAAACAAACAAATAGAAGAATAAAAGGAAAAAAAAAGAATAAAAAAGCGTTTTCCAAAAAAAGGAGTTTTTTTTTTGCAAATTTGGTAAACATGCAAGTAAATACTTGAAATTTGCAGCTTCTAATTAAAAAAAAAAAAAAAAGAAAAACATGCAACTTTCTATTTAAAATTCTAGTAAAAATAATTATTTCTTTTTTTAACGCATCTATACACTGAGAGACCTTTTGCACCGTAACAGACTTTCGATAGATGGCTGCGGAGCATTCTAGCGGTCAGCTATGAAACTACGTTTTTGGTCTGCAGCCGTACAATTTTTGGAGCGTAGCTGTCCAAAAAATTGACGACCGCAAGGTTCATTTTTATTTTTGGGCAGTCACGATACAAAATTTAGAATGCAGCGCACCAAAACCTATAGTGGCGCTGCAGTCACACACGTAGTTCTGATGCGGTGCAAAAGGTCTCTCAGTGTAGGAAATAAAAAACTGATTGGTGAACAGTAAAAAAAAAATTACATTTTAAAAAAGAGAAGAAAAAAAACAAAAAGAGCCAAAAAAAAACGAAAAAAGCAAAAAATGTTCAAAAAGGAAATACCTTTGTAACGGCTTGAAGAAAAGCGGCTTTTCCAACTTTTTGCCTCTGTTTCGACATGACAATTTCCATTCGTCGTTTTTCATTTTCAATGTGTCGCCTTTTCTCTTCTAATTTCAGTCTAATGTTATTTAATTGTGACGCCATCACTGTATTATTACTCGAATCATCTAAAAGCAAATTTTTATCAATTTCTTATTTTTTATTATGAAAATAAAATAAAAAAAACATAATAATACCGAAATAAAATAAAAAAATACTAAAATAAAAAAATAAAACAAAATACATTGGTGAATAAATAAATAAAATAGGAAATTGAAATTACAGAAAGAAAATAAAAATAAAAATAAAATAAAAGAACTTCGTTACATAAATTAATAATTAAAAATAGAAAATAGAAATTATGGAAATAAAATTTGAAAAATACAGAAATAAAATTAAAAAAAAAATACCAAAATAAATATAAAAACAAAATACTTTTTTGAAAAAATAAAGAAATAACTAAAATAGAAAATAGAAATTACAGAAATAATTTTTAAAAAAAATACCAAAATAAATAAAAACAAAATACTTTTTTGAATAAATAAAGAAATAACTAAAATATAAAATAGAAATTAAAGAAATAATTTTTAAAAAATACTAAATTAAAATAAATGTAAAAATACTTTGATAAATAAATTAAACAAAAATCAATGTTAATAAAGCAAAAAAAAAAAATCAAAACAGCAAAAAAAAAAAAAACCACTCACCGACAGAATGACTTTCGCTCTGTTGATTTTGTTGATTACTTTGCTGCTGCCACGTCGTTGTATTTGGCAATGTTGCAAATGTTGTTTTCTTTTCACCAAAACCATTTCCATTTGTTTGTCCATGTTTTTTATTCGCCAAATTTGATTTAACAATTGCCTCATCGCGCTCTTGTTCCGTGTATGTAAAATTAATACCCTTCTCTGAAGTTTGTCGATTTAAATTAGCAAAACTCGCAAGTTTTGTCATTGAATCCAATGTTGTTGCTCCTGATGTTGTTGTTGTTGTTATTGTTGTTGCTGCTCCCGTTACCGGTGACGTTGACATTTTATTAATCAATTCAGAATCATTTTTTTCACTACTACTACTATTTGAATGTAATAGTTGATTATTTTTTAATGCAAAATTATCGAGACTTGAATTCGATGGATGTCGTCGTAGACGCGATGATGATATTTGTTGTTGTTGTTGTTCATCATTACTGTAACCATTGTCGGATAAAATTAATTGCACGCCACTCGCGTAAACATCTTGAACGCTTGAACGCGCCGGTAATGTTGGTTCGGCGACAATTCTTTTTCCCATTGTTACAACGCCCATTTCTTTATCTGGATTTCTGCCAAAATTGTGAATATTGTCCTGCAATTAAAAAAGAAGAAATAGAAAAAAAAATTGACAGAAAAATTTAGAAAAGCAGAAAAATAAACAAAAAAAAAAACAAAGTAAAGAAAACGAAATTGCAAAAAAAAACAAATATTCTTAATAGAAATATTTCTTGTTTGGTAATTGAATTTTAAATCATTAAATTTTTAAATCTCAGAAATATTTATTATTCTATTTTTAATTAAATTGATATTTAATTAACAGGACTTTGATCGACTTTACGGCACAAAAAAAAGTCGTTTTAGTAAATTTATATTCCCCAAAAAAAAGGTGAAAGATTCTAAAAATAATTAGTTAGAAATTATTTTATGGAATTTCATTTGTCAATAATTATTTTTGAGCTGAATTTTTATTTCTTCGAATTAGTATTTTTGTAGAATTTTTCCTAAAACGATTTTTTATATTAAAGAATTTTTCATATAATCGAAAATTCCCTTCAAAGAATTTTTAATTTTGTTCGAATAAAAATTCTTTAAAATCACCTAAATTATATTAAATGAAAATTCGAGTAAATAAAAATTCTATGATGATTATAGAAAAAATTTTGTAATATAAAAAAATTCGTTTTTATGAAAATTCGGCTCTAAAATAATTATTGACAAAAATAAAATTCAAAAAATTCGAAAATTCTAATTTGTGCTAAATAAATAATTAATTTTAATTTCTGTTTAATTAAATTTAAATAATTAAATTATTGGATTTTTAATTAAATTAGAAATTGTTTTTTTTTTGCTTTAATACCTGTGATCCGCCAAAATTTTCTATGGTAAGCTGAGAATCATCGGAAACACTATTTCTTCGTGAGCGTCTACCACCGTAGGAAGTTCGTCGTTGATCTTCCCAATTACTAGGCCGTCCGGCGGCTTCTGCTCTTGCATTTATACTTTTTTCATCAGCAACAACTGAACTCAATGTTGGCACGCCCTTCATTCGATGAACAACAAAATTCTCCTCAGTTCTTCTACGCAAAAAAAAAAAAGGAAAGAAAATTAATATCGCCTTTTTAAATTGAAAAAAAAAATTTTTTTTAAATAAATAATATTTTTAAATACAAAACAATTTTTCAAAAAAAAAAAAAAAAAAACAGTAAAAAGAAAAAAATGTTAATACTAAAAATTAAATTAACTAAAAATTATACAGTAATTAAATAATAATAATTAAATTAATAATTGTAAATAGTTAAAATGACTACAAAATATTTAGTAATTAAATAATAATGAAATTAATAATTAATAATTATAAATAGTTAAATTAGATAAAAAATTATCACATAAATTTATTATTGGTAAATTAATAAATAAACGAACCTGTCTTGGAAAGAATGACTCTCAGCGGTTTGTTGCAATGATTGTGATTTTTTCACTGTCATTGCTGTCATTGGTTTTGGAACTAAAATTAACAAGATCAAAAAATTAATTAAACAAAAATTTTCATAAAAACTATATTAAACTACACACTACAAAAAAAATTCTATTAGTACTTCACAAAAAGGAAAAAAAAACAGTGCTGGTCTCAAAACTACAAAATAAAATTACTATTATTGTTAATAATAATAATAATAATAATATTCGCAATTAATTTGTCAATAATTACTTAATTAACTTCAAAAATTAATTATTGGTATTTTATAATTAATTAATTAATATAGTACCTAAATAATATTTATAAGTATAATTGTTAATAATTAATAAATTAGTTTTGTAATAAAAAAAAATTAAATATTAATTTATAATTACTTAACAATAATAATAATAATTAATTAATCAATCAGTGGTAATTAATAATTTACATTCTAATTTCTAATTAATTAAAATAAATTTCCACAATAATATAAAAAGGGGGTTTTTGTGCTGGGGGCGAAGGAAGGAGATATTTTCGAGAAAAAAAGGGAGTAAATAAATTATTAACAATGGATTAAATAATAATAATAATAATAACAAAACAATTACAACAAATTATTGAATTTGTCATAAAAATATAGAATAAAAAATTTGCAAATAAAAAAGAAATCAACAAAAAATGGAGTGTACCTTTTCTACCTATTATATATATTTATATACAATATGGAATGCAAAAAAAAAAGAGAGAGAGAGAGAGAGTCCATTTTTGAATTTTTTTCTGCTTTTTTGGACTCGGGTCAAGCACTTTTTTTTTAACTAAAAAAAAATCAATAAATAAAAACGGAAAAAATAAATAAATAAGGACAAAAAAAAGACAAAAATAAAACAAAATTGGGACAAAAAAAAGACAAAAATAAAACAAAATTGGGACAAAAAAAAGACAAAAATAAAACACAATTGGGACAAAAAAAGACAAAAAAAAACAAAAATACAAAAAAAGTAGGGACAAAAAAACAAAAAAAAAAAAAAATTATAAAAAAAATACAGAAACGTGCAAAACAAAGAACCAAAAAAGTGCAAAACGTGACAAAAAGAAAATACAAAAAACCTAAGAAAAACCAAAAAAAAAATAAAATAAATAAAAGAGCTCAAAGCTAGTAACAAAAGCGAGGCTTTTTTTCTTACTTTTAACGTGGTAGCAAAGAAAAAAAATTTGTTTTGTTTTTTTTTCTTTCAAATATATTTAACATGCAATCCGTTCCACAAAAATCACTTCCAATTCCACAAATTCTAATTTTCGAAAATTCTATTTTTTGATTTTGTACCTAATTTCCATTCAATTTTTTTTTCATCTTGTTTTTGCTTAAAATTCGCTTTAATTTATGAAATTTAATTTTGTTCCATTCTTCGATTTCGGTGTGAAGAAAAAAAATTCCTTTATTAAAAAAAGAAAAAAAAACAACAAAAATTTTCCCTTCGTTAATGAAAAGAAAAAAAAATATTCCATTTATTATTTTGTGAAACAAAATTTCTAATTTTAAATATTTACTAAATAAAAATTCAATATAAAAAATTTGACTATTTTTTATTTTTATTGAAAATAAATAAAAAATTCGACAAAATTAAAATTCTGTTATGCAAAAAAAATTAGTAAAAATTAAAAAAAAAAAAATGTCTTTTAATTCGAATATTCGTGTAAACAATAATTATTTCGAATAAAATTCTTTGGAAAAATTCCAATTAATATGTTCCGAGAAAAAAAAATATAGAAATTTCGAAAACTGGAAAAGTGAAAAATGGAACAATTTTAATTTCGATATTTTTGTTTATTTCGAGAGAGAAAAAAAAAATTTTTTCTATCTCTCTCGTTGAGTTCGACGAAGAGAAAAAGAATCACTTTTTGTTTTTTTTTTGTTTTTTTTTTTCATTCGAAAGGTGTGGATACCTGTGAAACCTGGCGCGGATACGGAGAGGTTGCTTCTCAGATCCGGAATTGGAGTGACAGACTGCGGTAGACTTCGTTTATGAGCTACGCCGTGAATATTGCGCGGACAAGCTGCACACAACCCGAGAGAAGAGAGAAAAATAGAAATAGAAAGAGAGAGAGAGAGATAGACAGAGAGAGATAGAGAGAGATAGAAAGAGGCCAAAGGAACAAAAATCAGAAATTATTTTTTTTGGTTTATTATAAAAAAAAAATAAATAAATAAACAGCTCGAAATTGAACTGTGTTTAGAATATCAGGAAAAATTGACGAAAAAAGATTTCTTTTTTTGCAAAGAGGGTTATTTTTTTTTAAATATCAACCTAACGATATAATAATGAATTATATATTTTTTTTTTTAAAAAAAAAGTGCAACGCTAAATATAAATCCTCGAATTTTCTATTTATTTCCATATCATTATTATTTTTTTTTCTAAACTATTTTTTTTATCATTTCAAGGAAGAAAAAAAAATTGTACCAAAAACTATATTTAATTCAACGAAATAAATTTTCGTTAATTTCGTTAATTACTAAATTTGATAATTTCAAAATTCACTGTAATTTTTGTATTCGAAATGAAATTCGTGAAATCTATTATTTTCTCTAATAGTGACAAAAAAAAATTTATTTTCAATTTTTCCCTCTATGAAAATTTCAATTTTTTTTCCTTTTTATCTTAAAATAAGTTTATAATTTTTTTTTTTTTTTTATTTTCTAACGAAATTCCCTTTTTATTTTACAAATCAAAAATCGGTTTATGTAAAAACTTGTTTTTTTTTTTTGTTTTTGTTTCGAATTTCGTTTTGATTTCTAATTTAATTTTTTCACGATTGATTTTTAATCGAGGATCGATATTCGTTTGTGAATATAAATATATATATATATAAAATAAACGATTGACAATTTTGTGCGTTATTTGCAAAAAAAAGCATGATGCCATTTTAAAAGCAGAGACAATCATAATTATACGAGAGAAAAAAAAGGGAGACAAAAAATTGGGTAAAATAGGAGGAAAAAGACGAGAAATAAGGGGAAAAAAGAAGAGAAATACGAAAAAATAAGGGGAAAAAAGAAAAGAAATACGTAAAAAAATAAGGAGAGAAATAGAAAAAAATTGATTGTTCTGCTATTAAAACGGAATTTCATGAATGAAATTATATAAAGAAAAAAGAAATAAATTACAAAAGAACGGGTGAATTTGATTTTTTTTTTTTTTAAAGAGAAATTTTGAAGAAAAAAAAAATACAAGAAACATGCGGCAACCTTCACCAAATTAGATTCTGCCACCATATTTGCTGTTATTTTTCCTTCTACTCTCTAATTATTATTTTTTTTTTTTAAACCTTTTTTTCTTCTTCTTTGAATGAAAAAGAAAAAAGGATTAAAAATCTTAAAAAGTAATTTCCAAAAATTTACAGTAAGTTATATAATATATATGTTTTAAAATGTAAATTAATTACATTTTAGTAAAATTCCACGACTATTAAAAACTTGAAAAAAAATTATTAAATTAGGTCCAAAATTATTTAGAAAATTAATTTTTATTTAATATTAAATTTATAATTACCTTCAAATAATAAAAAAAAATTAGAAAAATTTATTTATGAACGTGAAAAAAAGTATTAAAAAATTCAAATTTTTAAATTAAAACCAAAAAAAAAATGTTTGAAATTTTTATTTTTGTTTAATAATATTTCAACAAAAATTTTATTGGAAAATTTTCAAAAATAGTTTTTTGTTTTACTTACAAATAGTCGTGAAATTTTTGATAATTACACATTTTTCTTATCTTTTTTTGTGACTTTTTTTTACTTAATTTTTATTTATTTAAATTTATTTATTTTTTTTTTGAAAAAAAACTGTACTTACCATCTAAAAATTGATGAGCTCTTTCTTTTCCAGGATATCGTACACATTCGGCTGAATTAAGTTCCAATGCGTTATACATATCCGCGAGAAAAACGACAAGATTTTGTTTCATTGACCTAAGGAAAATAAATATAATTAAAAAAAAATAAATGAAACGGTAAAAGTAGAAAAGTAAACATTTTAAAGTAGAAAATAAAATAATAATAAATGTAGAAAATGAAAAAATAATAAATGTAGAAAATAAAAAAATAATAAATGTAGAAAATAAAATATTAGTAAAAGTAGAAAATAAAAATTTAGCAAAAGTAGAAAACAAAAGTAGAAATAGTAGAGAATAAAAAAATTTGAAGTAGAAAAAAAGGAAATGTAGAAAAAAGAAATTACTTAATGTAGAAAACAAAAAAGTAGAAATAGTAGAAAATAAAATAATAATAAATGTAGAAAATGAAGAAAATAATAAATGTAGAAAATAAAAAAATAATAAATGTAGAAAACAAAAAAAGTAGAAAATTAACAAAAAAAAAATCAAATAGAAAAAATTTAAAAGAAAATAAAAAAAATTTTGTTTTCTACACTCACCCACGCATATAGGTGACGTCCTCTGGTTGCATGTGAAAAATAGGATACGGCAAACATCGCGAACAAAAATTATGCACCAATGATAAATTATGTAGTGCATCAGCGACTGATGGCCTTTTTGAAACACGTATTTGCATCCAATTTAATTCATTGGGACAATAAAGTGCAACAACAGCGGCAAGACCAACCCCATCGCAAAGCGATTGAAAATCTTTAGCCGTTGGCAATTCGGGTAATCTTGTTTTATCACCTGCACCTGCACCTGTACCACCACTGCCACCATCTTCAAATTGTATTTTACTTATTAATGCTTGCGATGCATGACTTATCCAAAGTAATAGTCCTTTTTCATGATCAATTGGTAAATCAACATTTGCCATTGGATCAAATCGTCTTATCGCTGATACAACTTGATCGGCCATCACCACTTCCTTAGCGTAAAGGATCATTAATCCTTCTATCACAGCCATGTGCGCCGACTGGAAAAAAAAATTAATGCAAATAATTAAAATCGCCAAAAAAATTTTTTTTTTTAAATTTTTCAATTAATTTTTTAATACAAAAAAATTAAATTTTAATGAACAATAGAAATTATAATTTTATATATATTATAATTTTAAATCGATTGTATAATCGATGTAAATCGATTGTAAAGAATCTCTATATAAAAGATATCGATATATATCGATTATGAAAAAATCGATAAACATTCGATTTATATCGAATTTGTACCGATATTATAATCGATTTATATCGATATATCGATTATATTTCGATACTTTATTATCGATTAGTATCGATTTACAATCGATAGTTAAAAATCGTTTTATATCGATTATATTTCGATAATTTATTATCGATTAATAACGATTATAAATCGATACTTAACAATCGTTTTATATTAATTATGTATCGATTATGTATCGATTTATATCGATTATAAATTGATACTTTACAATCGATTTATTTCCAGTGTGTATCGATACTTTATAATTAATTTATAAACGATATAAATCGATTGTAAAGTATCGATACATAATCGATTGTAAAGCATCGATTTATAATCGATGTAAATCGATACATAATCGATTTATAATCCATATAAATCGATACATAATCGATATAAAACGATTTTTAAGTATCGATTATAAGTCGATACTAATCGATAATAAAGTATCAATATATATCGATATAAATCGATTAGAATATCGATACAAATTCGACAAAAATTCGATATAAATCGATTATATATATAGTATCGATACAAATGCGATATAAATCGATTATGCATAGTATCGATACAAATTCGATATAAATCGATTATATAGTTTAAAAATTGAAATTTATTTTTTTTTAATAATAAAATAAAAATGCAGCATATTAAAAAAAAATTATTTTTAAATAATAAGTTTGCTAAATAAATTTTTTTTTAAATAATTTTTTTTTTTTTTTGTTTTTAATAAAAATAAAAGAAGAGAATTTTTTGTTTTGCTTTTCTTACCATTTTCAGCGGCGAATTTTGTATGAGGATCGTCTCAGTGATTTGGGAATTGTTCGGCTCTGACACGAAAACACCTTTTCGAGCCAGAGCCTGAAGAATGCCCGAATGATTTTGATTATTGTAATTTGGATCCGAATAAATGCTGGCCAATGCCATGCAATAAAGTTCAGCATTGGAAAGTGCTTGAACAATTTGCGGTTTTAGGTGTTCCTGATCCTGAGGGGGAAAAAAAGAATGAATAAAGCGAAAATTAATTAACGTTATTAAAAAAAAATTTTTTTGTTTTAATAACAATTTTTAATTTTTTTTTTTTCAAGTTACAGTAATTATTTTTTAATGTAATAATAATAAAATAGAATATTTAATAATTAAATTAAATTCAACATAATAATAACAATAGTAATAATAAAAATAATAATCATAATAATAATATTAATAATATTAATAATAATAATAATAATAATAAAAATACCAATAACAATAATAATAAAAAATTAATTAATTATTAAAAAATAAAATATTTTTTTTCATTAAAAAAAATTTATATAAAGTTTATTTATTTATTTATTATTAAATAAATGAAATAAAAAATTGAAAATATTATAATAAATACAAAAAAAAAATAATGCAGTAAAAAAAAATTTTGAATGAAAATAAAAAAAAATTGTCAGCATTTTCGGTTGATAGAAATTTTTTTCTAAAATGTAAAAAATTTAAGTTAAGCCAAAAATAAAGAAGAAAAAAAAAAAAAATTGAAAGTCCAAAAGTTGAGTGAAAGACACACGTGAGTTAAATTCCCAATGTATTTAATAGGTAGTTTATAGCCATCTTCGTGACTTTCACGATCCCAGTTTCTTGTCGAATGGGAAACAAGGACGCGACCCACTGTGTACATATATATATATATATAAATACATACAAGAGATTTAATATATTTTATATATAAAATATCCAACTTGGGAAGTTTAAGAACCTTTTATCTCGATGCAACGAGCTATTAATTTCCTAACTGCTTTTTTTTATATACACACATATATAATATTAAATAGATATATGTATAGATATAGATATATATTTTACTTTTCGTCATCCAAAATCAATAAACAAAAATATTACATATACAAAAAAAATTCAACTTAATAATTTTTGTTACTTTAATTTAAAAAAAATGTATTTAAAAAAATTAATAAATAATTTAATAAAAAAACAAATTTAAAAAAAATTAAATGCAATACAATTTTTTTAAAAAATATTTTGAATTATAAAACTTTTTTAATTAATTATTTTATGATAATTATTATTCTAAATTATTATTTTATAATAATTATTATTCTACATTATTATTTTATAATAATTATTATTCTATAATTTATTATTTTATAATAATTAACAAATTATCTAATAAAATTATTAATTTATAATAAAAATTAAAAAATCTAATAATAAATAAAATAATATATTTAAATTTTTTAAAAAAATTAACTAATTAATTATTTAGTTAACTAAATAATATAAACAATTTTTTTTAAAAATTATAATTGTGACTAATTCGAAAATATTATAATTAATTTTATAATAATAATAATAATAATAATAATAATAATAATAATAATAAAAATAATAATAAAATAATACTAATAATAATAATAATGACCATTTTATTAAAAAAGGCAAAACGTCACAGTAGAATTTTTCGTGCCTTTTTTACAAACAAATAATTTTTCATATACAAAAATTGTAAAAAAAAAAAAAAAAAAAATTCGCATATTTACCTCATGATCCCGATAATATGGCTCTCTGAGTTTAATTGGGACATTATTGCTGTACGCTTTCGATAAGAGCCATTTTACGGAGGCACGTTGTTTGGCCTGTAACAAAAAAAATTCATTGAAAAATATTAATTTTCCATTATTTCCATAATCTATTTATTAAATAGTTAATTAATTTAATTAATTAATAAATTTATTTATTTAAAAATTTTTTAATTTAACTTTTTCATTTTTTTTACGTTTTTATAAATAATTTTCAAATTTTTTTTTTAAATTCTCGCCATAATCAAATTTTTATATTTTTTGGCGGGAAATTTAAAACAGATTTAAATAAAAGACAAATTAAATTATTTTTTCAATATTATTGCTTTTCTGGAAAAAAAATTGTTTCGAATTTTAATTAAACAATTTTGATTAAATGAAACAAGGATATTAATTCAGAAAACAAAATTATTTAATTTCAAAAAAAAAATTTTTTTGTTTAAATAAACAAAATTTAGAAAAAAAAATTTTATTTTTAGTTAATCATAGTATAAACGAGAAAATATTCCATGAACTACGAGAGGAATGCAATTTTTTTTTTCAAGTTCATGAACTTGATTTGCAAGTAACGAGTTGTTTTTTCGTGGTGTTTTTTTTTATCTTTTCTCTCTCTCTCTCTCTCTCTCTCTCTCTCTCTCTTCGTTCTTGGAAAACAAGAGATAAACACCGGTTATTATTTTTTAATTTTTTCTTTTTGCAAATCTAGGTAGGCGTTTTCTTTTACAGACAAGTTTTGTGTATCGTACAAGATTTATAACTTATAAATTCCTTAAGTATTTTCCTTTGTAATTAAACGCGTAAATATTTTAATTTTTGAATTTCCCGCCATTAAAAATTGAAATTACAGCGCGGGAAATTAAAAAAAAATGTTTAAAAACTTAAATTTCCCGCTACAATTTTTTTTATTATAGCGGGTAAATTGAAAATAAAAAAAATTTAAATTTCCCGCCAAACTTTTTTTTTTTTGAGGTTATAGCGGGAAATTTGAATCAAAAAATTATAAAATTCCCAATTCTGAATAATTTAATAATAAAAAAAAATAATTCTAATAATTTTTTTGTTATTTTAATTTTTTTTTTTTTGTAATACACGCAGGTAATGAATCTCATATACAATTTAACTAATTGCAAGAGAAACAATTTTGTATATGACACTGAGTCTTTTTATAGACAGAAGAACTCGATTACGTTACACGCAGCATTTCTTATATATATATACATTGTCGTTTCAATGTACAGTCAGTGAAAAAAATTTGTTCTCTTTCAATTAATTAGGCAATTAATTAATAAACAAAAAATTAATTTTTTTTATTTATCAATAAATAACTTTTATTATTAATATTTCCTAAGGAAAATTCAAAAAAATATAAATAAAAAATTAATTAAAAATTAATAATTTAAACAAATTATAAAAAAAAATTTAATTATTAATAAAAAAAAATATATTAACACTACAAAAAATTAATGTAAATAAAAAATAAATATAATTCAAAAATATAAAATAAAAAAATTTCTCAACAACAAAATTTCCGTTATTTATATATAAAAGGAAATTTTAAAATTAATGAAAATTCAAATAGCGCAACTGTAATTAAAAAAAAAAAAGAAAAACAGTTATTTTTTAAGAAAATTTGGAATTAGAAATTATGAGATTAAAAAATTTTTTTTTTTTTTTAATCTTTTACCTTAATTTTGTAAGGATACTAGATCTTTTAATTCGAAGCCATAAATATTAATTTTTAGAAGGTCGTAAATCTACTCCTCCTTCTCTATATAAAACAAATCACGATTATCGAGTATTTTGATCCATAAAATCATTGCCACTATAATTTTCTTCTATTATAAAACAAATAAATACCTAAATATTTTTAAAATTAAAAATTTTTTTCAAAATTTTTGTTTATGAGATTTTTTTTCTAAAATAAAATTTATTGTTATTAAAAAAAAAAAATTTTTTTGCCAAATAAAAAAATAAGACAAAATTAATTATAATACATAATAATAATAATAATAATAATAATAATAATAATAATAATAATAATAATAATAAGAAAATAAATAAAAAATTATTTATGTATATAAATAAATAATAATAATAATAAAATAGTAACAATAAAATAATAATAATAATAAAAATACAAAGTTAAAAAATAAAGTAAAAATTAAAAAGAAAATTAAATACAAAAATTTGCAAACTTTTGTTGAAAGAAAAAGTTGTCATTACGAAAAAAAAAAAAAAATATATATATATATATATAATATGTATACAATATTAAAAGAAAATTTTGTATTGTATGTTAATTATCGAGCATAAATAGAGCGAATCAATTGTTCTATACTTTTCACGGCTCATGAGACAAAATCATCCAACTTGAAAAATTTAATTAATAATTTTTTAAAGGACAATTGTTTATAGTTAAAAAAAATAATTTCAAAAGTTTATTTTTCAACAAAGTCCAACTAAAAAAAAAGAGGAATTTTTTTCATTTTCATAATTTTTTTTATTTTTATTATATTTAATAATTTTAATTATTACTATTTTTATTGTTATTTATATAATAATTTATAGAATAATAATAATAATAATATTTTTTTATTTTTTCCCCATTGTGTATTTATTATTATTAATATTATATTTTTTGGTAATAATTATTATTGTTTGTTATTATTTATTTATTTTAGAATTATTTATTATTATTGTAATTAAATGTAGAAAAAAAAATTAATAACAAAAAAAGTGAATTTAAAAATTTACAAAACGAAAATTTACAATTTAGAAAAAACTGATGATAATAATAATAGTAATATCTAATAATTTGTCTCAGCAATTGTATAAAAATAGTAATAAAACTGTGTTTTAAGTGACGTAAACTTTTCGCAATTACGAATTTTTTTTTTTTTTTTTTTTTTTTGACTTTAAAGGAGTCCCTTAATTGAAAAAGCAAGTGCAATAAAATGGAATGCAGAAAATTGTTATACGAGTCCAAAACAAGAAATTATCTCTTCAAAAAGAGAGAAAAAAAAGATATTTTTTAAAAAATAAAATTTTACTGGAAAAATTCAAACAAAAAAAAATATATATATATTCAAAATGCAATGAAAAAATTAATAACAAATTAAAAAAAAATAATTTGAATTTCAAAAAAAAATAATAATAATAATAAAAATTAATTAATAAGTAAAAATTATTTATTTTTAATTTATTAATAATTAATTATCGTTACAAATTAATTATTTTGTAACTAATTAATTACTAAAAATAATTATTAATAAATAAAAAATAAGAAAAATAATAAAAAATAAATAAAAATAATTAAAATAACAATAAATAAATAAAAAAAAAATTAGTAAAAAAAAAAATAAGAATAAGTGAATAATAAGAAAATGAATAAAAGAACAAAAAAAAAATAAAATTCATATATAAAATAAATAATTACCAAATTTAAATTTAGTAAAAAAAAAAAATTGCAAAAAAATTTTTTTTTTTGAAATTTGCAAAATAATTTTTATCAAACAATAAAAAACAAATATTTTAAATTCTCTATTATATTATTTCGAGTCACATTGAGGAATTATATTTATCATCAGACAGTGAAAATGAAGTCATTCATTAAACTTTATAAGACTTAATTACTATAAAGAAATAACGATAATCCAATATTGTTAATGAAGAGATTGAGGTTCATTTCTCTTGTATTTGTGTGTGTCTGTGTTTTTTTTTTTTTTTTTTTTCTTCTTCTTTCTCTCCCTTTCTCTTTGTGTGTTTAATAATCGACCAACCAACCTAGCGACCTACACTCACATGTATTGCATTCTGGATTGAACTGAAATGCAAGGTTTCACCTAGAAAACTGCATTTCACGACTGTTTAGGCGTTCTCGACTCCTCCCCTATTCTGCTCCATTTTGTTTTGCAAAAAAAAAAAAAAATGGAGAAAAAAAACTTTTTTTCCTCTGTTTACTCTAAATTGCAAATAATTAGAAAATAATTTTTTTTTTATAATTCGAAAAACAGCAATTGGGGTAATATGACACTCCCTCACAAAAACGGGGTAAAATGACACAAAAGGTAAAATCAAAGAAATAAACTGGCTAATAAAATTATTATTTACATTTTTTACAAAAAAAACCATTTAATATTACACTTAAGGGGAGCGATAATAAATAGTTGGGGTAAAATGGCACACATTATTTTTGTATCAATTGGAAATAGAAAAATAATTTTTTAATTTCCATTTTTTGAAAATTTTATTCAATTTAAATAACAAAGTGGGGGTAATATGACACACAAAATATGGGGTAATATGACACACAAAAATTGGGGTAATATGATATACAAAATATGGGGTAAAATGACCCGAAAATCGAATTTTAATGGATAATAAATTTTAATTTTATCCATAAATTTTAATTACATTTTTTTTTATAAACGGGGAAATAGTGCAAAAACAAGGGGCAAAATGACATTTTTAATAATGGGGTAAAATGGTCATTTTTTAACATTCGCTATTGGAAAATATTTTTTTAGTTTATTTTATTGTACACTTTGATATGAATAACAGCGAGTGGGGTAATATGACACCCCCCCCACAAAAAACGGGGTAAAATGACACAAATGTAAAATTAAATTTGAAATATACGGGATAATAAATATGCAATTTCAATTATATATTTTTTTTTACAAAAACCGTGTAAACCCTAAAGGGGTGAAAAAACATCAATAGTTGGGGTAAAATGGCACTCATTTTTATTAACAAAATAATAAAAAATAGTGAAAAAAATTGAAAGATAACTTTTTTAAATTTCCACTTTTTTTAACACTTTGATTCGATTTAAATAACAGCAAGTGGGGTAATATGTCCACTCCACCAAAAACAAAACGGGGTAAAATGACACAAAAATTGAATTTTAATAAAGAAAAAATTCTAATTTTTAACATAAAATTTTAATTTACATTTTTTTTCAAAGACAGGGAAATAGTAAAAAAGAACGGGATAAAAATGACATTAATACTGGAGTGAAATGGGACAAATATGGGGTAATATGACACCAAAAACGG